CCGGTGACACCCCCTTTGTCCGCCCCCCCCCTTGTCAAAGGACAAGAGGGCAATGCAAGGTGGAAATGTGAACACTTCAATGAAGATAAATCTGTCACCGTACCAGAGTCAAGTCGGATTCTTACAAGAACAAAAACTGTAATTTTGTGAAATTGCAAAATAGATTTGGGAGGGAGAAAAAACAAATTGGTTTTGTTGTTGTTGAGGAAAAAAAAAGTTGTCATCTTCTGAGATCATGTGGTACTTTTGTATAGCAAGGGCTAAAAACTTTGTATTTAACAGACTTTATTTATTTCATCATAAAATTATATATCCCACACAATGTTTTTTATTTTTCAGAAAAATTATTTTAAAGTAGCTAAAACCAAACAAGATTCCATGGGGGTTGGGGGAGGCGGAGTAGAAAAACTCATTCCTTAAATATAAAACATAAAATTGTGGTCTTTTAAATAAAAATCCCTTGAAAGTAGACCTAGAATTCGTTTTGTTTGCGATATCTCCGATGACCACTAGATGGCATTGATGACAACATTTTCAAATCTCAAGCAGGTTTTATGTTAGCATGCTTCGCTGAAGTGGTCAACACAACTTTTGTCACCTTTGACATCATAATAATAATAATCGCAACAAAAGCGTACGCAAACGACGACGACGTCGGACGACAGCTGCGATTGCGACTCATCTTTCAAACGACGCCGGCCGCTCCCCTCGTAGCGGCCGACCTCTCGAAAGGCGGCGAGGTCGAGGCGGCCGCCGGCTCCCATTCGCCGTCGGGATTAAGGGCGCCGCGGAGCCGTCGCCGCCCGTTTGGCATTCAGGAGGCGAGCCGGCGCTTTTTTGTTTGCGTTGGGATCAATCGATGAGACGCCTCGACAAATAAGCCGCACAACGAATGCACGCGGACGGACGCCTTTGAGTTTGACACCTTGACATCTTGGATGCCTTTGGCGTTGACTCTCGCTCGTCTTGCCACCGCCGCGGACTCGACATTAGGTACGCCGTGTTGACACATGTCCATTTTATTTCCTAACTACTACAAAACACACAAAGCACAAGGCAGCGGACCGAGATGTTTTTTTCTGTTTTCTTGGGAAATATTTATTTTCAGGGATTTATCGATACTTTGCCTAGTGGTGGTCAAATAGCTCAATAAATCTGAGAATATTTCAGCGGTCACTGCGCGGGCCCTAATAAGGTCTCTCAACCCAAAAATGTCTCTTCTCTTAAGGTTGCAGTGTTGATCTCAAAACAATTATTATTTATTCTGATAGCATTGAAGTTTCATGCTTAAGATTGTGACATTGTCCTTGAAAATGTTTTTTTTCCATCATTAACATTTTTTGTCTGTTTTTAATTACTCTTTTTCCACACAAAAAAAATATTTACTACACACAAGATTGACTTGTGCTTTATTTTCATAAATTTCCAACAAAACAAAAGAAAAAGTAAATTGTTTTAATTTTTTTTGTTTCTCAAAATGCACGTGTAAAAAAGTGACACCGATTTTTTATTTGTTAATACAGTACTTGGTTTTCCTTGATGCTGTTTTTTGCACAAGTCAATTCTACCCCCTACAGGCCCAAAATGTCAACGTCTGTTTTGTCCACCATCCTCAAAAGAGAAATAATTGTCTGCTGCTCTCTAGTGGTCATGTATCACCTGGCATTTGTCCAACCGACGGACGGCAAAGGAAAGCAAGTTTTTTGGGTGGATTTTACATGAAAATGTTTTTTTTTTTTTAAATCAGAATAAAATCTTTAAAACTTCACTCTGACTATCTGCCAATACCGAGTCTCAATCCAATAACCATGCAATGTTACGTTTTAAGCAAATTAAACAAGAACATTTTAAATATTAAAATCTCTAATGCAGATTCGCTACTGTAACGTTATTGTATTTTCAATAAATAAAACATAAAAATTGACAAATTAAAAAAAATACATCTTTCTTGCTATGACACAAAGCAAACTGACACGAAAAATTGTACGACACAAAATTTATTGTCCAATAGATGTGACTGTGAATCATACAAGAAATTACAATCCATCGTAAAAACGTATTATGGAGTTATGACAAGAAAAAATATATTTTTTAAAATTTAATGTATTTATTAAATGTGATTTTGTAATACATTCTGGCGATCATATTTTTCTCTCGAAGTGCTAAAACCCTGTCAATCCAAATTATTGACAGTTTCTCCTTTCAACCACACGAGGTCGCTGTTGATTGAAAGTCAGATTGCTTTTACCGGCTCCGTGCCGAACTGCATCAGGCCACGTCAATATTGGGCAGGCAATCAATCAAACAATGAATCAATCATCAAGACTTTCTCGAGAATACATTCAAAAGTCCCAACTCTCGGTTTAGGGCCGTTGCACAAGTGACGTAACGTTTCCTAATGTTCAAATTGCCCAGCGGCAGCTTTTGTCGTTTAGTTTTGGTGCACGCCGACCCCCATAAGCGCCCCCCCCAACCCCCGTCGTTCCCCCCACTAGGCTGCCATGAATTATTTGCTATTTTGCAGCAGGCGGGAGGTGACTTGCCCTTTCGCTGAAGGCGGCCACTCATTGAGCTCTTCGCGTGATGCCCGACAGAAAAAAAAAAAATCAAATCAAATAAAGACACGTTGGTGTCATGAGCTCGTCACACATGCATTCAGTTTCAAATAATAACCATAAAAGTCATTTCCTCCTCAAAATTTGTTTTTCCGGGGTCACTGGCGAGGGGGTCGCGAATGGGGAAATGAGTCGACTGTTGGATACTTGTGGTTTGACAACCGCGGATTCGCATGTTCACCGATTTTTTCCCAGCAATATTTTGAAAAACATTTTTGGAGAGCTGTACCTTTGAGGTGGGCGAAAAAACAAGAAAAATTCTCCCAATGCGTTTCAAGGGCGTCAATCATAGGTGGATTTTCACTAGCGAGGCTCGACTGTAATAATGTCAACTTTCACACTCAAAAACAAACAAAAAAAAAACAACTTTCAATCGGAAATTCAATGTTGATTCATCACCGGGAAAAGTAGGGGTGCCCATTCTATTCATTGGTAAAAGTGTGGGTATAGTGAAGTCTTGCATTGGGAATAAGTAGCGATGAGAATTGACTCCAGCATTGGAAAATTGTAGGTGGCTCAACCCCCTTTAACTGGGAAACTTGTGGGTGTTGAACTTGTCTGCCAAGAAAAAGATGGATGCTTTGAATGTGGGATTTGATCTTATTTACCAGGAACAATGTGGGTGTCAGCCATATTTGTCGATATTCTGTTCCTTTCATAATCAGAAAGAGCTTTTGTGCTTTGAAAAAAATGGTATCAAAAGTACGCGTAAGTGCACTTCCCTGTCTGGACGTCCAAAGGCAACATGACTACTTTGTTTATTTATTTCATTTTGTTTTTGTGTGTCCCACATTTGTCCTCTTGTCATTCAGCCTGCGGGAGGAGGCGAGGAAGCGAGGCGGCAAGGAGGGAAAAACAGTCCCGCCTCCAGACTCTCCATGTGGAGAAACAAAATATTTAATGTGCACTTGCCTCTTGTTGGCGGGCAGAATCGGGCAGTACAAAACCTCATCAAAAGTGTGGGTGTGGAAAACTTACGTCGGTAAAAGTATAGGTTGTTCCCAACATGAGGGGAAATGTGGGTGCTCAACAATTACTGGAATCATTAAAGAGAAGTGTGACTGTCAAAACTTTTCACTTGAAAAAATATGGGTGTTGAAAGCCTTCCACCAAGAAAAGTGTGGCTGCCAATGCTTTGGGTGTTGATCCTAGTTCCTGAGAAAGTGTGGGTGTTGAAACCTCTCACTTGGAAAAATATGGGTGCTAAAATTTTTCAAAGTGTAACTCTGACTGGGAAAAGTGAGGGTGTTGAACCATTTAAAAAGTTTGAGTGTTGAACCCTTTCAATGGGAAAAGTTTATGTGTTGAACCTTTTTGAAGTGTAGGCGTTGAACCTCAATGGGAACAGTGTCAATTTGTCCCGAAACTAGCCCATGTTTCTACCCTTTGACTGGGAAATATTTGGGTATTAAACCTTTTCAAATTGCACTCGGCTCACCCTCCATCATGCGACTAAAGCGCCCAACGCGGTCGCCAAGCAAACAAGCCTCTCCATTGAGGTGACAGCATTTGAGTGGGCGCCCCCTCACCTCTGCGTGCCGTCCCGGCGCACCCGCACCCCAGATGCTCTTGGAGTAAACACCTCGCCGCGTGCGGTCGGTAACCGTGGCAACAGTCCTTCCGACAGCTGCTCCATACGCGACCTTGATGATGACTCTTGAAAGACTACGAATATTTTCAGCGAAATGTCGCGGTTGAGTGTCTGGAGGTTTGATTTGACCGCTTAACTCAACTAAGCAGCGTACTTCACCTCAAATAATCAATTCAGAAAATAGGAAGAATGCAAGTATAGGAAATTCAGCATCATTGTTCGAAATGGTGACACTGAAATTTAACTCATACTTTTTTTGCGGTGAAAGGATTCAACAAACACTTTGATCCTGGTGAAAAAGTTCAAAACGCACCCTGTCACGGGTGAAGGGGTTCAACACGACATTTTCTCCAGTAAAATGGTTCAACAGCACACTCACGTTTCCCGGTTAAAGGATTCAACACCCACACTTTTTACAGTCAACGGGTGTAACAGTACACCCACACTTTTTTTCCTTTGAAGGGTTAAGTTCAAGAGTACGCCTACTTTTCTGAGCGAAAGTCGAAAAACACCCACATTTTTCCAAGTGAAAGCTTTTGACACCCACACTTTTCCTGGTTAATGGGTTCAACACCCACACTCGCCTCAATATTTGCCTCCCACAATTGTCCCACTGAAAGCGCTCAACCGCCACATCTTTGACAGCAAAAGGGTTCACCGCCCACCCTTTTGCCGGCTTCTTGCTCGACTACATGTGTTGCTCCACCGCATTTGCTTAGTTTGATTTTGTTGCCGAATAAAGGTGGTGTGGCGTCACGGCTTCCCCGCCCACCATGAACGGTTTCAAGCTGCGGCGCGCCCCCGTCCGGGCTCGTGCGCGCGCCGTGACGTCGACGCCGCCGAAATGGCAGCGCCGTAAATAGTCCAAATCGTCCGCCTCAGTCCAGACGCGCGCTCGCAGCCGGTCGGCGTCCTCCTCCAAACCTTCGCAAGAGATGGAATCCGATCCGAACGGGACTTGGGTGGACTTCTCGGGAGGCGTCCAGCTCCTGGACAGCGAGGACATCCGAACGGCCGTGCCGGCGTTGCTGGTCGGCGTGTGCGTTTCGGGCGCCGCGGGCAACCTCCTGGTGCTGCTGGTGTTGGCGCGCGACTTCCGCGCGGGGCGAGGCTCCGAGGCCAAGGCTCTGCTCGCCGCGGTGGCCGCCGCGGACGCGCTCCTCCTGGTCCTGTGCGCCCCCGTGCGCGCGCTGGCCGTCTACAAGCAAGCCTGGGTGCTCGGCCGCTTCGCGTGCGCCACCGCCGACTGGTTCCAGCACTCGTGCGTGGTGGCCAAGACGCTCCTCCTGGCGGTCAGCACCCGGGCCAAGCACACCCCGGCGCCCGGCGCCACCGCCGGCGCCGCCGCGCATCGCGGCTGGATCCTCTGGGCCGTGGCGTTCGCGTGGCTGGCGTCCATGATGTTCGCCATCCCGCAGATGCTGTTCGCCGCGTTGCGGCCGCGCGGCGGGCACGCCGGCGTCGTCGTGTGCGTGTCCCGGATGCCGGCGTGCGCCTCGCACTTCATGGCCGTCTTCTATAAGATCTACCCCGCGGCCGCCTACGTGGGCCCGGTGCTGTTCACCGTGGCCTACTACACCAAGAGCCTCCACGGGGCGCTCAATTACGCGCCGAGCCCGGGCCGCCAGAGCAAGGTGACGCTGGCGCTGCTGTGTCTGAGCAGCACGCTGGGGCTCCTGCTGCTGCCCGAGTGGGGCACGTTCACCTGGGTGCGGCTGGGCTACCGCCAGCCCCCCGCGGGGCTGCTCCTGTGCGCCCAGGCGCTGGCGTACGCTTGCGGCGCGCTCTCGCCGCTGCTGCTGGTCACCATGTACGACGACGTGCGCCGCGGCCTGGCGGCGCTCTGCGTGGCGGCCGCCTGCCGCGGGGCCAAGGCGGCCGCGGCCCCCAAGGCGACCGAGGGCAACGGAGCCGAGCTGGGCGGCCCGGGGGCCAACGCGGTGCTCGCCAGCGCCGAGAAGACCTTCCCCGACGTGGAGCACTTTTGGACGGGGCGCAGGAACACGCAGGTGGAGGAGGAGCAGGACCCCATCCCGTGGGAGAAAGAAGAGAAAATGCTCTAGTCCGACCGCTGCTGTGCGCTTGGAAGACTTCCATGGAAGAATTCGCGTCCCGCGGGCTGCTTTGTCTTTAGAAATCACGGTCGAACCAGTAACTTCAAACAACAACTAAAATGCGATCTTGTCACATTCGATAGACATCAAGCAACATCTTTAAAAACGTGTTTCACATTCTACATATGTGCAGTTTGTATATAAAATGTCACATGATAGCTTTTCATGTTGTTTTTATAAAAAGAAAAAACGTGTGCTCCCTTGTATTATTCAATACTTTTTACGTCGATTGATAGAAACGGCTAAATATTTATAGAATCTTTAGATTTAATATAAGCGGAAGCTTTATTGATTTATTTTGCTTTTAAAACAGTGCTATCTGGTTAAGTTTCAATGTTTATTTAAAAAAAAGGTTGGATTTCATTGTTTATGTTTTGTCTTAGTTTAAAATATGTTTTGATGAACTGTAAAAATGTGTCATCTTGTAGCATTAAATATATCTTTTTTTAAATCAAGTTTAGACCAAGTGATAGTGTTGAATAGTCATCATTTTTATTATTTTATTATTTTGAATAAAAAAAATAGTCAACATTTGTTCATTGAAATTCCTAAATGACATTTGACATTTAGTAAGAAATAAAAAAAATGCTTCATCTTGTTAAAAAAACTTTTTCTTGGAGTTTCTTCTGTCAAGACAGACTGGATTTGTGTCCAAATTTGCCAAATTGCGGCTGACTAAAACTAAAAAAAAAAAAAAAATGCTTCATCTTGTTTAAAAAAAAAACTTTTTCTTGGAGTTTCTTCTCTCAAGACAGACTGGATTTGTTTCCAAATTTGCCAAATTGCGGCCGACTAAATTTCTCATTGTGGATGATAAACAAAACATGATCAGCTATATGGACTCATCCCATTTCAATCCGAGGCAAACCGCCTCTTAATCACCGATAAAAACACAATCCAATCTTTTTTTTCAGACATGGTAAAACATATCACATCTCCTCATTGCATTCGCCACTAATCTCGCCGGTCAAAATCCTGTCGCGGCGATTACGTGACGAGCCCGAGGCAGCTGTAGCTCGTGAAAAAAAAAAAAAAGTGTCAATAGTTCAACGTGTGCTCCTGCTTTTACACTGAGCATCTTTTACACGAAAGTCAAGTCTTGTCGTGGTTGCTTGCGTCTTTTTCCCGCCTAGCAGAATGTAACACACTTTCATTGTACAGACTGTAAAACCCGCATTATTATTCTTCGGATGATTACGAGGTGTCCAACGTTCTTTTCATGCTGCAACGTGTGCGATGAGGTGTTTTGAGCTATGCTAGCACGATACGGCGACTTGTCACATGGTTAAAAATGGTTGAATAAAAGGATGAAAAGATGCTGAGTCTTTGAGCTTGATGTGTGTTGGGTTCCTTTGCGATATGATCGCTCGCTGACGCACTTTTAGAGTATGAAAACAAACATGCTAATCCAAGTATTGGATTAGCTCACAGTCACGGAGCCATGTTTGCTAACTTCGGTTAGAAGAAGGAGTATTTGGCTGTCGTTGACACGTGGTAAAACAGTTATGAAAAAGAGGCTCATTTAAGTATTTGGATTACCGTACGAGTTGAGTTAACCGATGAACCAGATTTGGCAACTCAAGATTGATGCCGGCGTGTTCACGTCTCGGCTGGAGTACTGTCGTGCACTTAAATTTGGAGTCAGCCGATCCTCCGTGAGGCGCCTCCAGTTGGGCCAAAATGTCGCTGCTCGCCTCTTGACTGGGACTCGTAAAAGGGAGCGCAAAACTCCGACCCTGGCATCCCTTCACTGGCTCCCAAAACATTTTCGAGTTCTTTTGAAGTCATACCTCAGTTTTTGACAATAATCCGTTCAAGAAGGCAGTTCAAAAAGCGATTTATTTGTCATCCGAAACTATTTTACGAGCCCATGATTAGGGGCTAATATACTATGCAGAAATAACATAAAAACAGTCAGATTTGCGTAAATCACAACAAACACGTCTGCTCACAATGAATGTTACATGAGGAAGCGTCACTTCCTCGTGTAAGTAGGCTGAGAGGAGTCGAGTGGCGTTTTCGGGTTTGCTCAGTTTGGTCGAAAACTGGTTTTCGGTTGTAAGCCGAGACGTAAAAATTACGATTTGGTCGATAACAGAGACCTTCGTCCTGTTATCGACCAAAAACCTGTTTGGCTCCTTGGAAAAAAAAGATCAAAGAGTTAAAAGTAGGAAACAGACAAGAGCGATATCTTCGAGTTTTTGGCGACTTGACACACGGTAAACCGACATCCAAATGAGCATTTTGCAAGTGTTCTAGAAGGGTTAACGTGTAAAAATGGGTCAGCGAAGCTTTCTTGGGCTGTAAAAGGGAAGATAGAAAATGAGCTTTTAGCGCTCGTGTGTGTTTGGCGGCCGAGTGTGGAGCCCCGTGGCTGCGACACGGCGGCTTTGACATTTTCCTCGTCTTGAGTGAAAAGAAAAGGTTACAGGTGGAGGGGGAAGGCGGAATTCAGGACCCCAGAAAAAAAAAAAAAAGTCCTCCTCAAAAGCTCTTGACCGCCATTGTGTGGCGGCACATCATTTATTCATTGACAGTATGGACGGTTGCCGCGAGCGTCTGCCCTCGGGAGTCGCGTATTATTCCCTCTCCTTTTACACGGCGCGCAGGCTACACTCCATCATCAGCCATTTGCTGGTTGACGTGCGGTAAGAAAATAAAATGTTCAAAGTATGAAGACGTTTTTTTAGTCATTCTATTTGCTGGGTCAACTCGCTAGCGGCGCATGATATTTGGTACCTTAAGTTTTTTGCTTCAGTGTCTGGCTACTTGACACCTGGTCAAACTCAAGTGTCCAATTGACTTTACAAATCATCAGGTTGCCCGAAACTCTTGAGAAAATTCATCCTGCTGATTTTGTCAGCACCCACATCATCCATCAATGCATAATGGCGGCGCTTCTTTGACGTTTGTTCACTGGGCATCAAACGTGGATTTGAATTCGCCTCCTGCACAGGTCCAAGGTCCCGCTATGTGAGCTAATGCGTAGCTCGGGATGCTACTATGCTACAATGGAGCGTCCCTTCCGCTTCACTTGTGAACAAAAGCACGCTGGCTGGGCACCAGGAGTGAAAAACATGCCTTTGGGGGGGGAAGGTCTCGCTAAGCTACTGCGTATGTTATCCTTACGCTAGCTGCTGACTCGCTATTTTGGTGGCTTCTCTAGGGTGGATTTGGAGTATTAGCTTCAGCGGCGTGTAGTCATTTTCGAGCTGAAGGGGAGAGTTTGGCTTTTTTATCCAGATGTACTAAGTGCCGTCTTGCCCGGTTTTGAAAGTTAACCAGTAAAACAATAATAATAATAATAATAATAATAATAATAATAATAATAATAATCATGATAATAATAATAATAAACAGCTACAAAAGGTTTAAAATGTCAATGTTGTATTTGTCTTTCTTCGATAGCCCTCTGAGAATAAAGTTGGATGATTAAAACAGGCCCAACACTCTGTCATGATCCTGTTCTTGTGTTCCTCCAGCAGGTGGCAGAGGAGGGCCGTCCCTCCAGCTTGCACACCTGCTGCCAATGTAATCAACCGACTATTTCAGGGTTCCAATGTCAGTCAATTTGCCTTCATCGAGCTGTTCCATGTTTTAGCTCTTTGTTTTTTTTTCTGCCCTTTACCTTTGTTTTTTGTTGTTGAAGTTATAGTCACGGTTTTTATATGATATGTTTTTGTGTTTTTTTTTTTTTCTTGTCAGTTATTGACAAGCAGCATTTTTTTTTTGTTGAACTTTGCTGGTCTTGCAACCTACTTTTATTAATGCATCTTTTTTTGTCAATTATTCCCGAGTTCATGTTTCTGGAGTACAATTTTTTTTTTTTAACTTAATCTCATGATAATTGCATCATATTTTGAGGGGTGGGGATGGAAAGGGCCCTGAATAGAACATAAGGTTAGCTAGTATACATTTATTTTTAAATTTACAATTTTTTTCCAGAAAGACACTCCAAATTCTTTTAGAATAAAGCTATATTTTTTTCTAAGGGACGCATCAAACTCTCAATTCGTATTTTCCCCAGAAAAACATGCTTATTCCCACAGGATATCCCCCCCCCACCCCCATTAAAAAAAAATAAATTCCAGCATCATCTCTTTTGGGTCGGAAGGAAAATGTGGTAAAGAAAATAAAACCAAGAACAATGTCAAGCAGTCTTTTTTGAAATGAAGAAAATAGAATAAAGACATTTTGAGGCTTCAGGTCAGCGAGTGTCTGCCGTGCTCTTTTTGTGGCGACGTCGCCGCTGCTCTCTGCTTTCTCAGCTCGTGTTTCTCTCATGCGTGACAGATGAGTTGTCGCCCTGAGCTCTCTGCGGGTCTTCGCTTATTTTCCTGTCCTGTCTCTCTCGGAAGTTTTTTTTTTTTTTTTTTTTCTAAACTGGGACATGGCAACAAATGTTTGCTTTTTGCCCTCAAAGCAGCTTGGAGGATTCTGGGTCAAGACACCTTGCATTTTGTATTGCCGTCATAGGTGATTACATCATTTTTTTTAGGGTGGAAAAACATTTTAAAAATCCACAATCCCACACCCAAAAACATGTTTTATTTGGCCCACTTGTGACACCAAATTTTGAAGGGCACCTCTGACACCATTTTCTTGAGAACACTTCAGTTGCAGTCTCAGTTGCAGTGCTGTTAGGCCAAACAGATATCTTCACGGTGTACTGTCCCACTTCTGACACCAATTTTTGAGTACACTTCCGACAACATTTATCTCAGGATTAGCACCCTCAATTGACATTTAAACAAGATTTCCACTGGATGGAAAAACATGTAGACTAACACCACAATAGTGACAACAGTTCACCATCGCACTTCTGACACCGTTTTCTTCCTAGGACTCTTCTGACACTTTTGTTTTTTGAAGAGCACTTATGACTTTTGTCTGACAACACTTCAGACACACTCTAAAGTGATGGACCTGTCGATTTAATAGATGTCTTCATGGTGAGCATCCCACTTCTGCCACCAATTTTCTGAATACACATGTGTGGTCTCAACAGTTTGCCACCCCACTTCTAACACCATTTTTCCAAGGACGCTTCTCACAACACTTTAGGAGTCGTACACACAAAACTGATTTGAACAAGGGTTCACTGGGTTAAAAAAAAAAAAAATCAATAAATAGTAGCGAGATCATATACACATTTGTCGTGATGACTATTTACCGTTCCACTTCTGACACCAATTTTATGAGCGGAACAGGGAATGTTCACACTTTTGGAATTTTCCTCAAAATCGACCCCAAGCATTAAATCACCAAAGTGACAGGCACTCGACAGGGAAAAGCAAAGGCGTCTAATTGGAGTCCAAAGGGCACATATCATCATCATAATCATCATCATCATCATCATCATCACCTTCAATGACATTTACACAACACAGCCATCTTTGATTTTGCCCAATGACGTCACCCTACCTTTCCGTGTGGATCCTGTTGATTGGTTTTGAACGCTGACACGCCTCCTTAACGCCTCCCAACACTGTAGTGTGAAGATGACGCCATCGTGTGGTTGTAGGAGAGCACTGCAGACACACGAAATGTCATTTTTGACTCACACCCTTTTTTATTTATCCGTAATCATTTTCGGTCTAAAAATTATGTAATATTTGAATAAATATGTGATATAATAATTATTAATTCATAAAAAATATTTTCTCTTTATTTTATGAAATGGGTAAGCAGACTTTCAAAAGTGCTACTGTACTCTGCAATGTATTTTAGGTTATTATTTAAATACATGTGAATGCAATGCATAACACGCATTTATTTTATTTCAATGAGTTCACTCTAAAAATTAAGCCATTTTCAACATAATGAAGCGCGTAATGAACATTATTTTAGACTTATTTTATAACGTATTTAACATTTTTGTCATATTCCATATATGACCTACTGTATTTCATATACATATTTAACAAAAATTGATTATCGTTGAATTTGAATTCGTATTGAAAATTTATGAACGTGATATATATTTTAAATTACACTCATTTTAATTTAAGGAACTGTGACTGGCTTGTTAAAAAAAATCAAAAACAGAATAAAACACACGTGTTCATTCTATTCATGTTGAGTTAATCCATTATAAAAGGTGAAAATATCTGCAAAACATATGGAATTCACAAAAAATCTTGTATTTTAAACTTCAATAATTTTATAGCTAATATCTTGAGTTAACATTGAAACATTAAGGACTAATCCAAATATTGTTTTGAATGTCGCTGTTGTAACATGTTGTTTAGAGTTGAGATAGCCATAATCGGTAATATTTGTTTCTTTTCAATTTCTTGCTCCATATATGACCTACTGTATTTCATATACATATTTAACAAAAATTGATTATCGTTGAATTTGAATTCGTATTGAAAATTTATGAACGTGATATATATTTTAAATTACACTCATTTTAATTTAAGGAACTGTGACTGGCTTGTTAAAAAAAATCAAAAACAGAATAAAACACACGTGTTCATTCTATTCATGTTGAGTTAATCCATTATAAAAGGTGAAAATATCTGCAAAACATATGGAATTCACAAAAAATCTTGTATTTTAAACTTCAATAATTTTATAGCTAATATCTTGAGTTAACATTGAAACATTAAGGACTAATCCAAATATTGTTTTGAATGTCGCTGTTGTAACATGTTGTTGAGAGTTGAGATATATTTGTTTCTTTTCAATTTCTTGTAGACTGTCACTGAGGATAAAAGTGGTCTCTTGTTGAAATAAATAAATAATGATAAAACGGCACATTTATGGCATGAGTAGCGGTGTTTTAGTGTGCCTCGTCCTTGTCCGTGTACACGGATTATTTTGACGGGATTAGAGACAGATGTAAAGCAGAAATCGAGATCAAATCTAATCCTAAAGGCAGAGTGTTGACATTGGATTAGGAGATGTAAAACCACGCCCCCTTCCAGGTTCACCCTGTAGTTGATTGGTCCTAGCGTAGATTGACGGCTTTTTCCTCCAACGGGAAGGCGTAAGGGGCGGAATCGGGGCAGATGTGCGTGGAAAGGAGCACCGCGAGTCCGCCGTCCGGTTTTAGAGCAGGATTTGGTCTTCAAGTGACACTCGCCGATCCGAAGCAACCCACGCACGCCAAAGGTAAATTTGGAACACTTTCTCGATCTTTTTTTTTCCTCGCCGTGTGCTGCTCTGGCACGTCGAAGAAGTGACGTTTTATCGCCGCGACTGCAGCCTTTGAAACGCTGTGGGTCAGCAGCTCCTTGTTGACCTAAAAACGCTTAAAAAATATGGAAACGTGCTCCAAATTGCTTATCGGGGACTTTTCGCACACTTCAGTATCAATGTGTGAGTCATTGATATGCTGTTGAACGGGTTTAAGAAGCGATTCCCAGTGCTGGGCTATAAATATCCATGTCAAACCGGATTTTGTATGTGTGTGGCTTTTTTTTTGTGATAATAGTTAGAAAAAGCAACTTTATAGAGTGACATAAAAATGATAATGACGCAAGAGGCGTTATTGGAATATTACACAGAGGTCAACCGTTGCCCTTGCGTCAAGGTGTTGCCACCTCCTTGCATGTGTGTGTGCTTCCTCGTTAATCTGCAATCTGTCATGCCAACACACATTCACAAAGCAACACACAACGCTTAAAAAATATGGAAACGTGCTCCAAATTGCTTATCGGGGACTTTTCGCACACTTAAGTATCAATGTGTGAGTCATTGATATGCTGTTAAACGGGTTTAAGAAGCGATTCCCAGTGCTGGGCTGTAAATATCCATGTCAAACCGGATTTTGTATGTGTGTGGCTTTTTTTTGTGATAATAGTTCGAAAAAGCAACTTTATAGAGTGACATAAAAATGATAATGACGCAAGAGGCGTTATTGGAATATTACACAGAGGTCAACCGTTGCCCTTGCGTCAAGGTGTTGCCACCTCCTTGCATGTGTGTGTGCTTCCTCGTTAATCTGCAATCTGTCATGCCAACACACATTCACAAAGCAACACACACACGCGCACCCAAATCGTTTTAAACAGTGCACCTACCTAATTTTAGTGCAGAGACACCTGACCACCTGAGTCCAAGAGTGTTAAGGCGATCCGGGCCTGTTTAGACCGCAAAGTGACAGCAGAATTTGGGTGACATTTCCAAATGTTGTGTGCAAACAAAACGCTAGTGGACACACAACAAAGAGTTGGGGGTGGGGGGGGGGCGTTTCCATATGGAGTTAAAGGTGATTAATCAGTGACATATTTACCTTTTTTTCCACCCCTCCTTGCTCGAACAAGCCACAAAAAGTTTGAAGTTGTATTGAATCTGAAGGGGTTTTTTTTTCGAATGTGTGTGTGTGTGTGTTTCAGTTTCTTCCTGCCTGTCACATGTTCACTTTTACTTTCACTTTCACTTTCAGGGGGTTCCCAAAGTGATACCAAGTGTCTGTGAGATCGTTTTTGTTGGCAATGTCTTATTTTTTTGGGAGCCCATCAGTAACGAGGACGCAGAAAGTGAAAGTGAAATTGAGCGTCACCCAACTGCTGTGACATGACACCTTTTCCTTGAGAGGATGTTTCGTTGGACTCACTATACAGTATTCATTTTCTCCTTAGAGCCTTTCATTTCACTTGTGAGCAAATGTTCACCCACAGTTGAATCCTCAAGGTAGACCGCTGGTTGACTTGAGGAACAATATGCTGGGTTAAAAGTAACCCAAATCGGGTTTTACTCCCAACGTTTTCAAGTTAAAAAAAAAAAGCATCTTTGCCCCGTGGGTTGTCGCCAACGAAACTGTTTCAAATGGCGAGCAGCTTCAGCTTTCAGCTCACCCAAATCCAATCCTCAGACCAAGCTTTGAGGGCAAAGTAATTAACCCAACTTTGGGGAAAAGTAACCCATTCTGCTCCAAAGACAAAGCTACGGTATCTCGTGAGTGGCTGAGCAAAACAACCCAGCATTTTTTTTTTTTTTTGTGCGTGGAAATACAAATGATACAGTTGCAATCATAAAAACCTTCTGAACTGTTACAGGCACGCTTTTTTCATATATATATATATTTGTTCTGCAGGTGTAACGTTAGCTACTCCTTCTTAATGTAGAAAAACAAAAATGACATGACTCTGTAAGTGACAGTTAAAAAGAAATGTGAACGTGGTATAACTACAAAACGCAGTTTTGAGATTTTCTTTTTTTTTTTTTAAATCAGAAATACTTTGTAAATGAAGTGAATTTAATTTTAACGTTTTAAACTGTCATTCAAGTATCAAGATAAATGAACTGGATAGAAAATAAAATTGTCATATAACAAGGTACAGCGTACAAAAGTAGTGTTACACATTTTAGGACAGATTGGTTATAATTAATTTCATGCTACTGAATATAATCATTGTTTGATTTAAAATAATTAGAATTTTTGTTTTTGTATTTAAGTACTTATGTATTTTATTATTCACACTAAACTATTTAACCAATTATACAATTCAATAAATTAAAAAAGGTTGAGTATTTTTCATTGTCATACAAGTGTAAAAAGAAGATAACCACAGATACTCGGGGGGGGGGGTGGAGCGCTTGCGTCTTGCTACTTTGAATATGACGTACTGTCCTTTCCCATGTTCTCTCAACAACGTTGCTGTATCAGGAGCAAAACAACTGTACATTTGTCGTTGCGTTTTTCTTTCCAGATGTCGTTTGCTAGTGACCAGCTCTACAATGGCTACCTGCGCACCAACATGCCCACCATCGTCACCAAGGTCAAAGTGCGACAGATTGTGGTCCACTTGCCGTGTCTTACCGATTACGACCGGGTGAGAACCTTGTTTTGTGCTGGCTCCCGTGTGTTTTCGACAAACGGACAATTGTTTACACCTAGGGTGTAAGGAGAGTGAAATAACTCGTGCTCATGAGCCACATGCTGCCTGACCAAGTCTAAAGACGATATCTGAATACTTGGCCAAGTGGAAATTTCCGAGAGCAAAAACACAATTGTACGTTTGTCCTCACAAGGTGGCTTATTAGCAAGCTGCTCCATGATTAGACACTGCCTTAGACTCGGTGAAGCAGCATGTGGTTCTTCTCATACGTTCTTTTCCAAGTACGCGTACAACCGAACCAATTGCATGTTTGTCATGTGACGTGCGCTGGCAGGAGACGATCGAGGCCAAGCGGGAGATGTGCGGCAACTTCAACGGCATGGTGCTGCTGCTGGACTGCCTGAAGAGGCGCGACAGCTGGCCCGAGCACTTCATCCGAGCTCTGGAGAAGTGCGAGCACGGCGCCATCGCCGCCGAGATCCGGGCGGAGTACGACAAGCTCCTTGGCGCCGGCAGTAAGCGACCGTTTTAACTGGCTGGATTGTTCCTCGCCTTTTGATTGATATTCCGCAAGGTGGTCAGCATCGGGAAACTGTCGAGAGGAGCGCCGAACAGAACGTAACAACGCTGCGCAGTCAAAAGCCAAAGAATTAAAAATGAGTTTTAAGACGAGTTTGAAAGATGGGCAGCGAGGCGTGTGCAGAGAAACTCAAGAGAGGTAAGGTGCAGGGGCCATTTCAAGATTTGAAAACAAATCATTGGATCTTCAAAAGAACTCTCAAGAGGGCGCCCGTGAAGGGATGTTAGAGTAGGAGTGATATGCTCCCTCTTACGAGTACCAGTCAATCGGCTTGCAGCAGCATTTTGGACCAACTGGAGACGCTTCATGGAGGATTGGCTGACTCCAAAATCAAGTGCCTTACAGTCAGCCAGCCGGGAGGTGATGAATTTGTTTCAAAGTGCTCTTGAGAAAGGAGACGCTTGACTTTAGTCAGCTCAAAGAAGCTGGAGTTATGCATGTGCCCATGCGGGACTTTAAAAAGAGAAAAACAACCTTGTGGATTATATATTTTTATTTGCATGATGCAATCAACTGTCAGGAGGAGAGACGTCACATTAAAAATACTACGATGAGTATCTTGTGAAAAGCCCCCCGTGCAGGAAAGCGCACCGCCTGTGGAGAAAGTCACTCCTGCCGCTGCGATCCCGCTTGATGATATTTCGGAAGCTCTGGACAACACACAGGTGAGAAGAACAACGTAAACATGACGTGACATCCCGTATTTAATTAATTAATTTTTTTGTAAGGCAAACGTTCATTTTCTCAAAAAAAATAACGCCCGATACACAGTATGCATGGATGTCGACTTTGCAGTTCATTGTCTTGAATTCAATTTCTTTCCTATTGACTTTCATGCAATTAATTATGAGCAGGCATCCATGTTTTTGTCATAGCGGAACTCAAACTACTTCCTGCTTTCGTTTCTCATGGGAAATGTCATTTTACTCACCTAATGCCGGAGTCAGACCAAATGGACGCGAAACGTGTCTGGTAACATTTTTCCAATGTTACAATGCGGGACAATATCATTGCGGTCTGTGGACCTGAGAGGTAGATAAGGTCAACGGAAAGTTAAATTCCGACGTATTTACTTTCACGCCTGTAATCGCTATCAGGCGTCGGTGTTTTCATCATGCTCGAACTACTTCCTGCTTCAATTGTCTTGTCCAGGGAAACCAAAACAACGAAAGTCTATCAGAGCCGTCACAGAGGTAGTAGCTTTGGTCACATTCTCGCTCGCTTCTTTTTCCACTTTCAGATCGTCGTCGAGAACTGTACGGCAGCAGGAAGTACACCTGCAAGCCCCGCCTCTCCCGCCGCGTCCGACGCCTCCTCGGTGTTTCTGAGCACGCCCCGCACACTCGCCAGCATCCTGCCGCAAGAGGATCCGAACTCCAACCCCACCGGAGCCGGATCGTCGACAGAGCCGTATTCTGGTGACACGGACCGTTTGGAAATAAGCAAGAATCAGGACGATGACGATGAGGACGAGGTGCGGGTGCACACGGTGCACGTCTCCCAGCCGCTGTCCGTGCTGGACGGCCAGCTGGCGGTCAACGGCGACGCCGCCAAAGAAGTCGCTAGCGTTCAGGAGCCCGCTTCCACGACTATGTGCCCCGAGACCGAGAAGCCGGCCCCTCGTGGCGCGCTGGCCGCCAACGCCAAGTTTGCGGCGACGGCGGTGGGGGTGGCCGCCTGCGCGCTGTTGCTGGCGTGGAAGTTTAAGCATTGAGGTTCGTTTTAAGGCAGCGTTTCCCAACCACTTTCTGAGCCTTTACACTCAAAAAGTCTTCACTGCACATCACCGAACAAAAATGTCCCAAAATCTGTATACGCTAATAATGATCTTGTCTTAAATTGCACACATATTTACTGTTTAGTTCAACAAAAATTCGAACCCCACCCCGCTTGATTTTCAAATGTCAAATACCTCCACTCCAGTCTAGAAATAGAGATGCTATTTTATCCAGCATCTTTCTTCTGCCGACACATAACTACACGTTTAAGCCGCAAAAATATATCCACAAAAAAACCTCCGGTGGCTGGAATTTATCCCACTCGGTCGTCATGAGGCTTTTCCTTGCTGCGACAACGGGGCACTCTAAATGCCACGCCATGCAAGGACAGAGAGCAATTTATTGCTGAATTGTTGCAAAATAGCAACAAACTCATTTTGGCCTGGATTTTGGCGGCGTGGCTAACAACCAGCCCAAGTACACACCGGAGCTTTCCGGCATTCGTATGGCCTCTCCGACGATGTAATTCCGCATGACCGGGCCACCAGTCCGCTCGCTAGCTTGATAGCCCGCTACCCCGCTCGCTCGCTATGTCATGTGGACCCCTACACGACACAAAACCGAGTGAGGCGATGACTCATTGGACAGCGCTGAGACTGGGCGTCGCCAGCCCGCTAGCACGTTAGCCCGCGGACGGGCGTCAGTGTCCTCCACCGGGTCACTGCCCCACTCCATTTTGTGTCGGTCCACATAACAGGACACTTGAGGTCAACTTGCACTGTCCATTCAACAAATATTTTTCAGCCCGTGGCTCACACTACCGACAACTTGAGTCGAGTACATTCGTTCGCATAGCAACGTATTTGAGTGACAGGTGAAAGTCGAGCGGGGGCATGTTTTCAGCTCATTCAGCCGACACGCTAACAGTGTCCGACAGCTGGATTTTTCACAATTTTGGAGCCTCATTTTATCGAATCGCCGATGATGTATTTATATATATTTTTTTATTCATTCAAATTTGAAAGCGTGTTGGCAATCCAATTCTCTGTGGTGTGTTAAATTTATCGGCCCTTTTATTTCCCTGAGCTGGGACTTTAAATGAAGTTGCAGCAGACCTGTCTCATGACACGCTGATGTGCCACAGCACAGTGGTTGGGAATGCCCACTTTCAGGAGAAAATCTGACAGGTGCCTTATTGTTAGGAAAGGATGGAATGGTTTTTAAGGCTAAATTTGCCAGTCATCAGCACTTTGTAGATGCAATTTTATTTTTTATTTATTTGAACATAAATTATTGTACTATGCTGGATACTCTCAATAGGTACCTTAGCACTTAGATAACACATACGCTGTTATCATTTTAATGTCATGTTTGAATTGATTGATTGGCAGTTTTAGTCATGGTAGCATTTTAAGCGTCACTCAGAAGGGTGGGGAAACGTGTGCTGACAGGCCAGATTTGACTATAATATGAAATTGGGGGGAAGAAATTTTTAAAATTTGTATGTAAAATATGTGCACTTGTTTATTTTCATATTGAAGTAGATATCCATAGATATTCATTTTAAAGCCTGAGAAAAATGGTCTGTTTCAGGGTAATGTAGTTTTTTTTTTAAAACTTGTTCTTAAATGGCATACCTGATAATCATGCAAGTGTAAAAAGAAGCCAATCGCTCTTCATTGTAAAACCTAAAAACAATTAGTCCATCTATATCAAAGGATGGTAATGGTTCGTTGAGGGCTTAAACTGTTGCCATTGAAAAAGAAAAAAAAAAGTTTTTACATACCTGGCTGCCATACAAGTGTAAAAAGAAGCAGTAAAAATGTGAAAACTGTGCATACCGGTGAAAATGTGTTTCACAAATATAGTCTTGTTTTGAAGCCATTTCTTTGTACATATAATGATGTATATAGAGATCTTATAGTATGAAAATAAAATTGTAACTTGAAAATTCGTGGTGATTGTCATGATTTGATTTGTCAATTTATTCGAAAAGGTAAAAAAACTGCATGCAGAATTACAATGTAAAAAACACGGGAAGTCAATTAGGACTCAATGAAGGTTGCAAGCTGTAAAAAAACAGGATGCAAAATTGCACTTGTGGAAAAAAAGAAATCTGCAATAGGTGAACCGCAATATAATATGTACGGTTTCTATCAACAAAATGAAAAATTGATTAAAATGTGAAATGATATGTCTGTAATAGATAGTATATACAGCTCTGGAAACATTTAAAGGACCCCCAAAAATATACTGAACTTTTTTTTTTTTTTTTGGTTTTATTGGTTATATGTTGAACTTCAACACAAATTGTAATTGTAACTATTTTGCATCAGTGACGCTACTTTTGCAATGAAAGGCGTGTCTTTGGAGATGTTTCGAGTTGTGATTTGCTCCTCACCCGTCACCCATCCGATGACCACGCCCACATTACGAAGACCACGGCGAGCAGAAAACGCGAAGTCAATACAGTATAGCATAGCTAGTTAGCTGGGGAATTAGCATCTTCGTCGTCGGCCTTTTTGTACCCACCGAAACATCATCAACCGTTACCATTAACAACAACAACATCTATGTAGTAAATTGGCCAACTCTGTTTTTTGTTGTTGTTTTTAATGGCGACCAACGGCTACCACCAGCGCAACGATGACAGCGCGGACGACGAGGACGAAACGCCCACGAAGAAGCAGCCGCGCTCCGACAAAGACGTGACCGGCTCAGGCTGTCTTCTCCGGAGCGAGGCCGACAAGGAGGCGGCGGCGGCGGCGGCGGCGGCCGCGCCGGCTGGACGTGGTCGCTCTCCCCGCCGCGCCTCCAACGCGACGGCGCGGCTTCGCAGCGACTCGGTGAAGAAGAGCAGGCCGCGTAAGTGTTGTCGTGCCCTTTAACTCGGTATTTTTTTTTTTTTTATTTGTTTATGTGTTGCTATTGAATTGACTGGAAAGAAGACTTTTGCAATCCCAGTATGAAAGTCTATCCGGTAACATCTTTTTTTGATTGAATTCGACACATGAATGAATGAAGGCAAAACGTCGGCGTAAATTTGCGGGCTTTGATGCGCGCTGGGGAGGCCGACGTTGGCGCACAAAGGTAATATTTGAGGTACAAAGTGTTGTAGTCTCTTGCTGTTTTGCAACAAGATGGCGTTGGCGGTACTCGCTGTTCCTCTGATGGTGATGATGATGATCACACGATGGGCTATGAGGATGAAGCTGGACGCCGTCTTGTGCTCGCCATCACCAACGTCGTCATTCTCCTCCTCATCGTCTGACATTTTCCCTCCAAAACTCGGCTGGACGCTTCATTTCGTACATTTTCGTTCCAAAACATAATTGTTTGGTTTATTTATTCATGCTTGTCAGTCTGGTGATAGTATGCTGTTGTCAAGAACAACGCCGCCCACTGTGGTTACTGTTTTTTATTTTCCACAATCAAATCTGAACATGTTGTTTTCTATTTTATTGCATGCTGTTTTTCTAGAGACTACATACAAGTTGATGTATAGTTTATATACATACAATTCTGCTGTCTATTTTTTTTCTGCTTTTTCTTCACGTCTGCAAATGTCGTTTAGCGTAAGAAAGTGTTCCTTTGAAATCCCTAATATATACTTAACCCTGCTGTTTATCAACCTCTGTATGTGGAGCATACTTCTTCGTGTAACCGCTGCCGTGAGAAAGTCACCTTCTGCATGTTGTCCTTTGAACCGTAGCATTCCCCTGGTTTGGCATGGACATCGGCGGCACGCTGGTCAAGCTGGTGTACTTCGAGCCCCGCGACATCACGGCGGAGGAAGAGCAGGAGGAGGTGGAGAACCTGAAGAGCATCCGCCGCTACCTGACGTCCAACACGGCGTACGGCACCACCGGCATCCGCGACGTGCACCTGGAGCTGCGCGACCTGACGCTGTGCGGCCGCACGGGCAACCTGCACTTCATCCGCTTCCCCACGCACGACCTGCCCACCTTCCTGCAGATGGGCAGCAGCAAGCACTTCTCCAGCCTGCACACCAGCCTCTGCGCCACCGGCGGCGGCGCCTATAAGTTTGAGGACGACTTCCGCACGGTGCGTTCGCCTCGGCGACCTTGCGACGGCATTCGGATTTCGCCGTGCCCCGCCACCTTAAATGCACATCGTCATCCAATAGGAGACCACTATCTCGAGTGTGAATAACACCAAATTAAAAAAAATAAGTTATGACAATTAATGACCTAAGAATGCACTGTAAAGCACCTTACTATGGAGTCAACCAATCCTCCATAAAGCATCTCCAGTTGGTCCAAAATGCTGCTTGATGGGTACTCGTAAGAGGGAGCGCATCACTCCTTCCTACTCTGGCATCCCTTCACTGGCTCATTTTAGAGTTCCTTTGAAGATCCTCTCATTTGTTTTCAAATCGTGATATGGCCTCGCCCCAACTCTGAGCCCCTCGCGAATGCCGGGTGCCTCAGGTCTGCGGACCGGACACGATTAGAGGTAGCGAGAACTAAGCGGAGGCTCAGAGTGGGATGGATCCGTCGCCGGTCCCTCTCTTTGGAATGACCTTCCGCTGAACATTTGGCAAGCCCCCTCGCTGCCCATCTTGAAAACTGATTCTTTGGCCTTCGACTCAGCGTGAGACTTGATTTTCAGTTGGACTGTTTTTGTGCTTCATATTGTGTTCATTATACATTAAAAATTTTATCAAAATGTTAAAAAAATGCATGAAGCGTATGTGGCATCTCCAATCCGCTGACGTCACCTTCCCACCGATCCAGACGGCCGACCTGGAGCTCCACAAGCTGGACGAGCTGGACTGCCTGATCCGCGGCGTGCTGTATATCGATGCGGTGGTCTCCAGGGGCCCGTCCGAGTGTTACTACTTCGAGAACCCCGCCGAGCCGGACCGCTGCGTGCAGCGGCCCTACGCGCTGGAGAACCCCTACCCGCTGCTGCTGGTCAACATCGGCTCCGGCGTCAGCATCTTGGCCGTCTACTCGGAGAACAACTACAAGCGCGTTACCGGGACCAGGTGCGTTGTCCCTTTTGTTAAGCATTGTAGATTTAGAGCAGGTATCAAATGTGTGATGAATCGTGATTACTTACGATTACAATTTTTTATCGGCCGACAGCAGTATATATATATATATGCATCGATGGATGTTTCTATGTAAATGTGTGCGCACATGCGAGTGTGTACTCCATATTCGGTCGGAGGTGGGGATGAAGTGTGTTTGTGGAGTTGCATGAAAAGCGGCGATCGAATGCATTGAATGAGATTGGGTGACAAAATGGTGGCCACTTTTCCAGACAAAGCGCTAACGGCCGTGTGACTTTTCAGCCTGGGCGGGGGGACCTTCCTGGGCCTGTGCTGCTTGCTGACCGGCTGCTCCACCTTCGAGGAGGCGCTGGAAATGGCGTCGCAGGGCGAGAGCACCCGCGTGGACAAACTGGTCAGGGACATCTACGGAGGCGACTACGAGCGCTTCGGACTGCCGGGCTGGGCCGTGGCCTCCAGGTATGCCATTAGTCCGCCGATGTATATGCTCAACTATATTTTTTTCCAATTTGACGTTGTTTTTGCTCGCAATGTTCCAACTTGACTCATGTCGCAATGCGACTTCTCTTTCAAAACGCCCACTTGCAAGTTCCTTTTGAGAAATACAACTTCAAAAATTCAAAGGTGATTCTTCTCGCAAGACTGCAATTCATAAATGTTGCAGCTCTATTATAATATTCCAGCTTTTTCCTGCAGAAATCATTAACTTTATATATTTAAAAAGTATGACTTCATTCTCCAAATATTTCACTTTATAACAAAAAATCGGAACGTTAAATTCTTGGAAGATTTTCCGCAGATGAAGATTTGTAAAATTTCAAAATTAGGACTTTGCTCTCGTAATATTTGCTCCCCCAATATACAATATCCCGAAGTGGGAAAAAAAAAAGAAAAATACTTGTGCAACTTTTTTTTTTTTTAAATCAGAAAAATTATTTTTTTTTTTGTTGCCATTTTATTGACTGCTCTACTCTTGTCATATTGCGACTTTTTACGCCCTGACAAAAGCAATTCATTTGCGATGAAACGTTTCCCCGTTTTGCGTGGCCTCCACAGTTTCGGCAACATGATGTCCAAAGACAAGCGCGAGTCGGTGTCCAAGCAGGATCTGGCCAGGGCCACGCTGGTCACCATCACCAACAACATCGGCTCCATCACGCGCATGTGCGCGCTCAACGAGGTGAGTTCAATCCTCGGGGCCGCCGCTGTTCTCTCTCGCTCCATCCGCTCCCCTTGGGTTCCGTCTTCAGGAAACATTTCCTTCCACTGCTGTGCGGATGACTGTCAGATCGATATCCCGCTGAGCAAAAAAAAAAAAAAAAGACGCTTTCTCATGGGGGCCACTTTTATGCTGCCTGGAGGAACTCAAGCCCCGAACGCCACCGTTGGGCAAGCCTCTTCGCTGCCCATCTTCATAACCCGTCTTAAAATTCATTTTGATTCTTTGGCTTTTGATTTTCGGTTTCGACTGTTTCTGTGCTTTCCACTGTCTTTGTTTTTCATTTATTGTTTGTTGCATGGAATATTTTTTCTCCTTTACAACACTTAGTACGCAGCGGCGCTTGTTTGAAAGTGCTCTAGAAATACAGTTAAGTTGAGCCAAACGGCAGCTAGCTTAGCGTAAAGGTGGCGTGGACGCGTGTCCTGCATGCCTTCAGCCTCTTTACGGTGCTGCCTTGTGGCGTCTTGATCAAGCAGCATTGTACAGGGCTATGAAGGCGCCAGGTTCGGCATCTTCATCCAACTAACATGTATTTGTTTAGCAAGCCAAGCCAAGGCTTCTCTTTTTTTTTTTTTCTTTTTTTTTTCGATGAGTTAGTTTGAACAGAATCCAAAATGGCTTCCAATATTGTCAAACGATATTGAGCCCATATTGCCCACTGAACAAGGCCCTAGATTTCGCTTGTGTAAACTTGCCAGTTTGGGGACTTTTTTTTTTTTTTATCGGACTAAAAGCCATCAATTGTGCTTTCCCGACTTTTTGCCATCCACCCAAGAATATCGAGCGTGTGGTTTTTGTGGGCAACTTCCTGCGTGTCAACACGCTGTCCATGAAGCTGCTGGCCTACGCCATGGACTACTGGTCCAAAGGTCAACTCAAAGCGCTCTTCTTGCGCCACGAGGTAAGTCAACACAAACAAAATTCCAAATTCTTCAAGTTTGCTGTATCTTATGATCCCTGTTTTTTTTTTTTTTTTCCCTTCTAGGGTTACTTTGGGGCCGTCGGAGCTCTGCTGGAACTGCTCCATCCGTCCTGAAGCAGCCAAAAAAATAACAAAAAAATTCATGGACAAAGTCAACCTGCTCCGGAGCAAAACAAAATGTTGCACTTTAAAATCTTTACGGTACAGGATCATGAGGCGCTTCCTCTGTGCTCTCAGGACGGCCTACCGACGGACTCAGATCCATTTTTATTATTATTGTTATTATTATTTTTTTTTTTTTTTTTTTCAAAAACTGCAGCCTTTGCAATTTTAAAAGCGCTTTCTACTCCATTGCGATCTCGATCCGAATTTGATCAGTGGTTCCAAACCTCGAGGTAATGGGATTACATTAGCTAACCGAAACCGCTGTGGACGCGGCAACAATTAGCATTCCAAGTGATCGCTCTACATTTTGGTGCGGCGCCAGCAAATAAACGCCACGCCGCGCCCCAAATGGACACCTCCCAAAACGGGCAGTAACTCACAGCCTCACAAGGAGTAAACTACTGAGCCCATTTGAGCTCTTGCTAACCAAAACAACGATGCAGACTAACGTCATTAGCATCCAGGTCATGGCTGCATCATGTTGCAAGCCTCCATGTTTATGTTACACCAAAAAAAAAAAAAAATCCAACACCTTGAACCAAATAGACTCCGCCAAAGCAAAGTACGAACTGTAATTATCTCCGTAAGCTATTTGTCCTCTCTCGCGAACCCAAACGGTCGCAGAGAAAGCGTCTTTAGCGTCCCAAGTAATTGCTGCATCCTGTTACATGTTTATGCCTCGACCCAAATAGACCTTCCAAGCGGGTCCTAACTGCATCCTTCTTCGGATTCAGTCGTCGTCTGTTGCTAACTAACTTGGCGAAGGCACGTTTGTTTCTAAACACGTCCGTTTTGTGGATGTATGTGGTCCCAGGAAACATTATGAAGTGCCTGCCATGTGACAATCGCTTTTATATACTGTGACTTTGGAGAGGTTAAACAAAAATAAGAACCTCGGTTTGAACGACCTTTGTTTGACTTCAGGGTTCTCACTGAAGTGTGGCAAACTTTTGTCTGGTGGTTTTTCTAGAAGAATGTAAAATACGAGCAGCTAAAGCTGTAATTTGGGAAGGGGTGGGGGGGTTAAAATGGATTTCTTAAAACCATTTGTTTTTCTCATCTTTTAAATGGTTTCTCATTACATTTTGAATGTAACTCTAAACTGAAATATGACTTGTGCAAATACAGCAATCTAGAAGTCGTCATTGTAAGATTGCAAAAAAAGTATTTTTGATTGCCAAAAAATACACTTTTTATGCCTTCTTGTCAAAAATAAACAATTTCAATCTTTTAAGAAGACTTTTCATTTTGAAAACTTGCACCCATGTAGTCCTACCTAGAAAAGAATATATGCTTTTCATCATTTAAAAAAATGACTATAGGTGTGGGATTATGACACTGAGGGGAAAAATTGAACTCCTATGAAATCTTACATTATAAGACTGACTTCAAAGACTGCACTGCTAATCAGCAAATCAGAGATGCCTTTGTTTCCCTAAAGGTACTTTTGACACTGAATTTTAAAATGTGGTTTTTGCGAACACTTGAGATTTTTTTTTGTATGTTCGAGCAGTAAAGGCAACACGGATTTTTACCATGCGTTGTCATTAATAGTGATGACATTTCAGAAAAAAAATCCACCTGCCACTGAACTGAACCTTTAGTTCATCACTATTACTAAATATATGACCTATTTTGTGCTCGAGAAAAAACGAGGGCAGATTCGCAATGCCCCCCCCCCCCAAAAAAAAAGTTTACTTGGCTCTTTGTTCACGTGACCGATTTTCGGAAACGTGACTTTTTTTTTTCTTCTTGCCATAAAGAAAGTGCCTGACAGCCGTGAAAGAGTCCGTGTGTGTGCTTCCCAGGAATTACACCCAGCCCTCCTCCTCTCTCCCTTTCTTCTTCTTCCTCCTCCTCCTCCTCCTCTTCTTCTTGCTCCTCTTCATCGACCGAGCTGTACAGCTGGCAAATTGCGGACGCCACTAAGAAAAAGACGACGAAGCCTCCTACACCCGCTCGACATCTTGATTTGTTTTCCTTAGGGCGTACCAGCAATTAGACGGAGTCAAGTGTGAAGGATTTAAGTATCACGCGAGGTTTCTCTTCCCACTTTTTTTCCGCCACTCATTTTTTTTTTCCCGCCGCGAAAACAAAAGCGGGGACCCGTTTCACGCACGTCACTCTCCATCAACAAGGTAGGCACGCTCATGGATCACATCATTCGACTTTTAGATGACAATATTGAAAGAAAAAAGTGAAACTGTGTAACTTGTGAAAGTGTGCGCTGAGTTTGAATGGCTTTTGTGGTTACAAAAAGCCGACAGATCAGAGGTGCGAGTTTGAAAGCGTCACTTTAGAAATGCGTGACGCTAAATGACCGTCATGTATGTCACCGGGCATCAACCAATTTTTTCATGATGACGTCACGTTGAAAACTTTTTGCTTTTGCTTTTGCTGTTCAAGAGACCGATCTTGAAGGGAATGCGGTTCCATTTTTTGGGGGACAAAATGCTTGACCTCCTAAAATAAAACGAACCTAATAATCAAGCTGATTTTATTTTTAAATATTTTTTCATCACATAAATACGGCTGTATCTGGAAAGAAATTGTCATCATATTGACAAAAAAGAAATGTTTGAAAAACAATACAAGGTTATCTTGAAAAAATATTCTCACAGAAATACGGTTCGCTCAGAAAATGTGGCTTCAAGAAAAATGGCTACAGGAATCCCTCGTTTATCTCTGGGTTACGTTCCAAAAATAATCCGTGATAAGTGAAAGCCGTGGAATAGTCATCGTTATTTTTTTACAATTATTACGTTTACAATACTGTATTGAATGAAAACAAAGAGCAAACCTTTTTTCACATCAGCACGATGCCACTGGCCACACACTAGCAGCCATATAGGAGTTGTTCAAAAAAAATTGTCATGCTTGCTCTTCTGCTTTTTGACTTGCGCGTACTTGCGGCCAACAACGAGGCACTCGATAGCAGCCCTGCCAGTCTAAAGCCCTGCCCCACACAATAAGCTGTCACGTTGGACTTAAAATTTAAAAAAAAAATCGGGCTCTCTGGTGTCCCGCCTTTCTCCGCCTGATGCGCACACACTCATTGTTGACGAGGCACTCTAAAGTGGCCACGAGAAATGCATTTTCGTGGCGTGGGCAAAGCTAGCTAACGGCACATGGCAGTTGTATCGTACGCCCGCTGGTGTCAACGAATGTGCTCAAGTTTTTATCTAGTTCCACGCAGTTAAGTCCCACATAGTTCCCAGCTTTTGTATGGTTTTTTTTTTGCAATTCTGTATCATCTATTTTGAAACGAACCTGAAGTCAATTGATAGGGTCTTTGATTAATGAACCTCCCATGATGCAGTGCGACTTCAGCCACCACCACCAATGAATCCGTCTGCTAGGAGAGGTTTCTTTGTGGCTTTGGGAAAGTATTCCCTCCCTCATTCCGAACCCAGACAGTCCGGACACACGCACGCACCCACCCACACACACACACACACACACACACACACACACACACACACACACACACACACGTGCAAAATGTTCCCACTGCGATGTTGAGTCAGGCTGGTTGCTGGTTGGAGCAGCAGAAGACGTGCAGCTGCCGTACAGTCAGTGAGGTCAGCAACCTCTGGCACCAATGCGGGGAAGCGAGCAAACACGCTGCACCAATCGCTTAGTTTAGCACATGAGGTGTGATTGCGGCTGGGGTGGAAAAAAAGGCTTTGTGAAAAGCCTTTCTTTTTTTTTTTCAAGCGAGCTTATAAATGGAATACGAAGTCTTTTTAACCCAGCAAAATCCAAATGTATTCGTTTGTTGTAGTTGTTGAAAAAAAAATCGATACCAGGTACCAGTATTAGGCCAATATCAGCCTTATTTTAAGGTATCAGCTACTCATGCAAGGTGTTGATACAAACACTGATAATTAAGCAAAAAAAAAAAAAATAATAATAATCTGACATCGAGTAAGTCCTCCTCTGCAGGAGATGGCGCTGTATTGTGACAGTTTAACAGATCAGCGAATCGTCATCCGGGTCAGAAAGGGCCTTGTTCACAATTTTTGGGCTTTATGTTAAATAAAATTGTATTTATCAAAACTACTGGAGGTATCGGTACCCGGTATCGGTGAGTACTCAGAGGGAATATTCGTACTGCTCTCGATCTGGGAAAAAAAGTGGTATCGAACATCACAGAAAAAAAAAATATATATATCTATCTCTATAATTTTTAATGGAAATCCCCCCCCTTAAATGGACCCTGATGCGGAAAAAGTCTCCGTCATGTTTTGGAGCGAGAGCCTCCCGTCTAGTGGTCTCTATACAAACACAACACACTACTGGATTTGTGCGCCCCCCCCCCCCCGTGCCCCTCTCCCACCTTCCACACACACAAAGTTGTCAATAGCACATTTATGTAGCGTACAAGAAGTCGACGGCGACGTACGTTCCATTTCCTGTTCCAGGATTTGTGCTACAAAAGACATATGAGCCACTTCCTTGAAATAAGGACTTGGAAATTACTTAAATGTTTTTCCAATATCCGTTTTGGCTCAAAAAAAAAAAAAAATTATTACAAACAAAAAAAAATTGCGCTCTACATTATTGTACGTCACTCAAAACCTAAAGTAATCACGTCGTTGGATCGAATATTAAGAATGAAACATTTTTTGCAACATGATTTCATGCTTCAATTCAATGGACATTGTGGTGTTGCTCCTTGTGTGCCCACCTTGGCCACCAGGGGCCGGTTTTACTGTAAACCGTGCGGATTAACACAAAAACCGGTTATCGTGAAAAGAATGACAGAGAAGCTACACAGGCATAGAGGAAAACACGGAATTGAATGATTTTAAGTTTTTAGCTGCTGCGAAATTGCGCTACTTTCGTTCGCCCTTCGATGGCGTTTCTCGTTATCTGTTAGCGTTAAGCTAGCAGGCTTTCGTCGAATAATGTTTTGGTCAAGTCGCGTACATCATGTGTAAATCTTTGTTTTATGGTCAACTTCCACTGCGGCCATTCGCCCGAGAGACGGCTCGTGACTTGCCGAAAATTGACGCACGCGAAAGTCGAGGGAGCGCCGCGTTTCGTTTGCGCCGTTTAAAGCTGAATGGAGTCGACTTTGTCTCTTGTGTGCGCAGGCATGATGATGTCTGGCAGGGGGCACTTGTCCCTCCTCTTCTTCCTGGCCGTGTGCTCGCCCCGCTACCTCGCCCAGACGCCGCCCGCCACCCTTCGCCCTTCTCCGTCCCCGTCGCCCTCGCAGCCCCAGACGGAGAGGCTAAAGGTCCGACTGGCGGGATTCCCGCGCAAGCACAACGAGGGCCGCGTGGAGCTCTTCTACAAGGGCGAGTGGGGCACCATCTGCGACGACGACTTCTCCATCTCCAATGCCAACGTGCTGTGTCGACAGCTGGGATTTGTCGAGGCCACCGGATGGACGCACAGTGCCAAATACGGGAAGGGGCAAGGTAGGACGGGTCCCCTCTGCCACTCTTTTTCAGCCAGGAGCACATTGTGGGTTGATCTACTTTGTACTTCTTTACGGCAAAGCACGAGTCCAGATGGGGCCTTGTAGATTGCGCCCGGTGAAGTCTGCCTAGCAACAAGTGACTCAAATCGAAATCACAGCAATACCGCCGAGCTTTCTGGAAAAATAATTTCAATTCATAAGTATTTTATTTTCACACAAAAAGCTAAAATATTTTGGGCAGTTGTCATTGAGTCTCATGAAGCCTGCCTAGCAACAAGTGATGTATCTGCAAAGTGTCCAAGAAAATAATCGGCGCAGTTGTGCTGGCTAGCTAAACTTTAAATGCACTTACCCTAAAAGTTTGTAGCATTTTACTTTTCCTGGAAAAAAAAGAAAATAAAAATTCGGGGGCAGTTATGCTGGAGCCCCATGAAGTCAACCTGACAGCAAGCAGCGATCCAACTCATTGAAGTATCCGGTTAAAAAATAAATCAATACAATCACCTCAGGAGTTGTGCTATCTAGCTAAAATCGAATCGCACGTTTTGTCACAGTTTTGGGGCAGTCGTGAATAAGCATGATATCTGCCCGGCAACAAGTCGTGGTTTATTTTGATTTGCACAGAAAACTCCAATTGCTCAAAATCTTATTTCGAAAGTTTGTCGCTCACCTACAGAATATTTCCAATTTTATTTTCATCGGCCCAAAAACATTTTCGGGCAGTTATCCTGAATCTGCCTCGCAGCGAGTGTCCGTTGAACTTTTAAGTGACGATGGTTTTGTTTTTGTTTTTTTTCTTCATGGAGAGCCCAAAAGTGTATTTTAGGGGCAGTTACTTTGGAGCCCCTCGGAAATGTGGCTAGCGAGCAACAAGTGTCTGGAGCCGTTGTCATTGTGTTTCAAGGCAAAATCTGGCTGGACAACGTGCAGTGCGGCGGCGGCGAGCGGAGCATCGCCGCGTGCAAATCTCGCGGCTGGGGCAACAGCGACTGCACTCACGACGAGGACGCCGGCGTGGTGTGCAAAGACGAGAGGATTCCGGGATTCGTCGACACCAACGTCATCGAGGTGGGTCCACTCGGATGCGGTCTTTGGTCTAATTTATGGTCGACCGCATGCCGTAACCGTTGACCGTGATTTATTCCCGGTAATTTTTTTTTTTTTATTTGTCTTCGAGCAGGCTCACGTGGAAGAGAACAAGTTGGAGGAGGTGCGCCTGCGCGCGGTGGTGGCGGCGGCTAAGAAGCGTCTGCCCGTCACGGAGGGCGTCCTGGAGGTCAAGTACAAGGACGGCTGGGCGCAGGTGTGCGACGCCGGCTGGACGGCCAAGAACACGCGCGTGGTCTGCGGCATGCTGGGATTCCCTCAAGAGAAAAAGTTCAACAAGAACTTCTACAGGTCGGTGGCGCCCGTTACCGTAGCGACGCTCAGTTCCGCCACTATGTTAGGTACGCGGTTCAATGAGGTCAGCGGGAGTTGTTTTGTGCACCGGTGTGTTTTTATTTTATTTTGACTTTTTTTTTTTTTATTGACTGCAGAGATGGGAACGATTGTGATGTGGCTTGTAATTGGAGCACAAAAAAAAAAAAAAAAAAAAAAGATGGTGCTTAAACTATTTCCTCAAGTTCCGTAATGGGAGTTGCAGCAGACTTGAAAATTTGTTCTCCTATGAGGATATTTGTCTTTCCAATTCCAGGTGGCCAGGAGAGAGGAAAAAAAAAGGCTTTCATTTAAAAACGTGTGCATGTGAGTGTGTGTGTGTGTGTGTGTGTGTGTGTGTGTGTGTGTGTGTGTGTGTGTGTGTGTGTGTGTGTGTGTGTGTGTGTGTGTGTGTGTGCGCGTGCGCGTGCCGTCTGTCAGGTGTGTGTGAAGCCCTGGCGGGAGCCAACCACATCCTGTGCCGAGGCTTACTGTACATCCTGTTAAAAGAAAGTTTGGTCGCGAGGTGCTTCTGCTGACCTCGTTTGTAGCGAAATCAAAGCCATTTGAAGCTTCGATTACAAAAAAAATAAAATTATCAAGAAACGACCTGTACTAATTAAATTTTACCTTTCGTTTTCCTCCAACCTTTTTCGTTACCGTTACATTTGACCTTTTTTTTTTTTTTTTTATTAAACTACTTGCTTACTTGCTTTGACATTGAACCTTTACTACAATTACTTTTACTGACATTCCATATTTCCCCTTGTACTTTACCGTTGCGATTACTTTTACCATTTTCTTTTAGAGTTTCCCTGACCTGCACTGTTACATGTCCTTTTACGATTAATTTTACCTTTTTATTTATTTATTTATTTTTTGAGCATAACCAATCCCCTTTAGCTTCATTTTTTCCCCCCCTCACAGGAATTGGCTTAGTTTTTTTTTTTTTTTTTTTTTTTTTGTAACACGTCCTTTCCACTTCTTCCACTTTTGATTGCCTTTTGGATGTTTATCGTGACAACCACGGAGACGTTAAGATCGATGGATAGTGCGATCATTGACGAAGGCAAAAAGTTGGGCGCCGAATGTGAAATACTTGGAATACCCGCAATACTTGCGTGTGACTTGACTGAAGGTCAGCGTCTCTCTTCTCCGGACGGTGACCCCCGCTGTTGCGCGGGTGCGATAAATGCGACCGACCGCATGTGGCTGTGTTGGTGGTTGCAGACGTTTGAGAAAGCGCGCCGCCGAGAGGTTCTCCAAGTCAAAGGTTAAAGCCTCGGCAGGGGCCAGGTATTCTGTCGCCGGTGGGGGGGGAAAAAAAAAACGTGCCCGTCGCACTGTCCACGTGCGGCCGGGTTCTGTTTTTCTTTCCTCGTAGAGTAGCTATTAATGCTTTCCGCCAGATTCGTCTGCCATTAACCATTTGTAGCTCCGAGTTGACCTCGCCTTTTGTCATGTGTGGCCTGCTTCATGACAGCTTCCGTTGACGGTTTCTGTTGACTTCTTCAATGGCGGAGAGAAGAAGTCAACCTTTTTCCGCGGGACTGTTTGGCTCTCTTGGACTAGTGCTCCTCGAAATAGCTTTGCATGCAGGAAATGCCTTGTGATGGGTTTCTTCAACAACAAACAACTTGGCGGCATCGCCGTCGGCCACTCAGGATCCAAATTTACACATTTGTTGCACTGAATGGACAATCGTGGTTAAAAACATGCCATGAAGAATTCCATCCAGTTTCACTCTCTAGTGCAATGGTTCTTAACCTGGGTTCGATCGAATCCCAGCGGTTCGGTAAATCGGTCTCAGGGGGTTCGACGGAGCCTCTGCCATGGAGGTTAATCATCGCTGGCAGCAGATGATCACATGACATTGCTTGTCCAATCAGTGCTGCGGGGAAATTTAGTTGGCTCGGTCGTCACCGTGTGACTGTCGTGATAGTACGTCATACAATAAAAAAAAAAAAATCTGTACTTATGCCATGTAATTTTATTTACGTTTTTTGTTTTTAATAAGTGTTTTTTTTTTTAATTTCTTGAATTTGTAAAAAAAAAGATATTTTTTATTTTTCACTAATGAAGGGTTCGGTGAACGTGCATATGAACTGGTTGGGTTCGGTACCTCGAACAAGGTTAAGAACCACTGCTCCAGTGTCATTGGTCTCGCGGTCTTGTTGAAGCCCCCTCCAATGTTCTCCTGGTAGATTACTGTCATCAAATCAAAGTACTCAAATGCCATGAAAAAAGGAGGACAAAAAAATTACCCACGGTGTAAAAAAAATAGTTCAAAATTTTCATAGCTCCATTTTTTAAAAAACAGCCGTTGTAAAATGTCACCTAAGATAAAGCTGAGTCTTTTTGATTTATTTTGATTTATTTTTTCTTTTTAGAAAGAAACAATCATCATGGTACAAAATGCCCCATGGGAAAATTTGACCAATGGTAAAAAAAGTTGACTCTTTGAACCATGGTAAAAATATGCTGGGCAAAAAAATGATGTTTTTTTTTTGTTTTTTTAAATAAATGGCATTTGTTGTGTAAACAAGTGCATTTTTGTTCGTTTGCTCGCAGCGTCCACTTCGATGTGCCATTCTACCGTGCTGTTTACCGTCATGACGAACGTGTCACTTTCAACAATGGCCAGGAAACAGTCTACAATACGGAAAAAAAAATATATCGTATTACGTGGTCAGATAATGTTCGCCGCAATGTTTAAAGCGACACGTTTGTTTTGAAATGTCGATCCTAACCTTTTTATTGCCGTGGGCTAAAATTGTGGCGTCTAACCAGTGTTTACCTTGCAGGCAGACAGCTAAAGCTAACGCTAACGCTAAGTCTAAACAGAGCAGCGCCAACTCAAGGTAACGTGAGCGCTAACCGTGTCATGCTAAGAACTGACCCCTCTTAAATTAGACAGATGGTAAAATTTGAGCGACAAAACATTGACCGAAATTGTCTCATAGGGTGGGAAAAGAAAAATGAAAAAAAAAAAAAAAGACTCATGGGAAGAACTGAGTCATTGTAAACGTTGACCCATATTTGTGGTAAAAACTGGACTATGATGTTAAAAAAAAAGTCTTTGCTAACAACCATCTTGATGAAAACAAAACAAACAGAACAAAACCCCCAAATGTGTTGAGCCAGGGTAAAACGAACTCAGGTTGCCAATCTCTCTTGCGCCCTCGCAGGTTGTTTTTGGAGCGTCAGAAGAATGTGTACCGCGTGCACTCGGTGGCGTGCGCGGGCACGGAGGTGCACCTGGCCGCGTGCCCCATGGAGTTCAACGGGCCCAACGGCACGGCCTCGTGCCGCGGCGGCTCCCCCGTCGTCGTCAGCTGCATGCCGGGGCCGCTCTTCGTGCGGCAGCACGGCGGATTCAAGAAGAAAGCCAAAACTTCGGTAAGGGCCCCGCTTGTCTGTAGACATTGCGCAATGTTGTGGGACTCTGGGGGTGTTGCGTTCCGGTCAACGTTGATTCGTGGTCGCGCCATCAATTGGCCAGAGCACGGTGAGGCTGAAGGGCGGGGCCCGGCTGGGCGAGGGCCGCGTGGAGGTGCTGAAGAGCGGCGAGTGGGGCAGCGTATGCGACGACCGCTGGAACCTGCAGTCGGCCAGCGTGGTGTGCAGGGAGCTCGGCTTCGGCAGCGCCAAGGAGGCCATGACGGGGGCGCGCATGGGCCAAGGTGGGGCGCCCAGACGCGCACGCACACACACACACACACACACACACACACACACACACACACACACACACACACACACACACACACGCGCGCGCACACACATTTTTGCAGACTTTGCTTGACCCCCGAGACGACAACTTTGAACTCACAGACCTCATTTCTCTCTGGAATTTTTCTTTGGAGGTTTTTTTTTTTTTTTTTTTTGAAACGCAGTGAGGGAATGCGGACACAGACAAGTTCCTTGTGACTATTATGTGCATGCTGAGAGATGAGGATTCGCATGTCAATAATACGAAGGAATTCCTTCACGGAAAGCACAAGCTCTGGAATTTCCATCATCATTCCATCAAGGGAACGTTCCCAAATCCAGAACGTGTGACTTTTTGATTCCCATTCCTCTTTTCAGGAAATCTCAGATTTATTTTGTTTTCCCGGACATTTTAAACAGAACATGCCTAAACTTCAGTCCGTGTCACATTTCAAAATGTCTAAAAATTGGAAGAATTCCTTCAGTGAAAGAAAAAATGTTTTCACCCGGCGTGAAGGAAGAAAGTGATCATTCCCAAATTCAAATCATGAAGCTTATTTTTTTTCTTTCTTTTGTTGGAAGGGTTTGACCAACGTGGATTTTTTTTTTCGGGGGCGGGGGGCTCATTATTGATTTTCAGCAATAAAATTCCGGTAACAGATTAATCATCTGTTTAATAAAAACACAAGTGAATTACATTTTTTGGGGGGGTATATTTTTTTTAATATTATTTATAATTGACATTTGACCCCATTACCCCATAATTTTTGTGTCCCTTCATGCTGATAACAAGAAAGATATTTTTCAATACTTGGGACATTTTACTGTTTTACATTTTTTTGTCTTGTATTTGTGTCAATCAGGGAGAAAAATCGATAAAAATTAAGAGATTTTTTGGGAGGGTGGGTGGTTGGGGAGGGTGCCGTGTTTGAATCTGTTGAAACTTTGTCCTATGATGTCATATGTTATTGTGTTAGAAAAAAAAACATCTGCCAAAAATTTGCCAATTTTGTCACGCTAATATCAGCCACCTAAATCGGCTGACCCATGAATCAATACCTGAAAGCTGCCATGATTCCATCCTGCGAAGCCTGCCGAATTTCCACTGTGATTCAATCAAGGAAGGGATTTTTCTTCAATCCATGTCGAGAGTCTTTTCGTGGTACAGTTCCTCTTTTCAGCAAATCCAGGACATTTTTTTCCCCCCACAAAAATGTTTTGTTTGCTCACGTTCTTCCTGAATAAACCTTCCTGGTTAAAAGTGTTTTCCAGGTGCCTGTAAACATTCCACAAACTTTTTTTTCTTTTTTTTATTCCCCCCCCTCCCAGGAGTGGGACCCATCTACATGAATGAGGTGAAGTGCTCGGGTTACGAGCGTTCCATCTGGAAGTGCCCGTTCAAGAACATCACGTCGGAGGACTGCCAGCACACGGAGGACGCTGCCGTGCGCTGCAACGTTCCCTACATGGGCCTGGAAAATTCGGTCAGAGCTCCGCCTCTCTATTTTGGCCAGCCAGTTTAGTCACGTGACGTGTGTGCAGCTCTTGTGATTGGTCTGGCAGGAATTTTATTTATTTATTTATTTCTGGCTACTAATATTTTTGGCATGATGTCACGCTGAGACATTGTTACGCCAATTTAGTGGCTAGTCTTCTAACCTGAATAACAAAAGCACACTAACGAACTGATATGGCCTCCTCACTGGCGTCAAGACGAACTTTTACGCAAATGCAGTACCTGTGTGGTCACGCCGCAATGTTGTGTATGTCCTTGTCTGCTTTCTAGTCAACTCCGGGACACTCAACAATGTTGCCGTTGCTTATTTGCACATTGACGTTCCAATTGGTCCTAATCTGTGGTTGCTCAACTCGAGTCTGGCATGTATATCGAGCCAAATCAGATTTGTTGGTAAAATTAGTCTTGACAGCAGTGACGAGGCTTCAGCATGGACTCTTTGCAGCTTGAAAGAGCTCCGCCGCCGTTTTGTCCATGGAAATGCTTACAAAGGCTCCAGTGGAATCCTTCTCTCGCCTTTTCCCCGAAAAGAAGGCAAAGAGGTTTTGGTTCTGATCCCACTGGACCTTTTGCGCTAACGCTCGCTGGGCCCCGCCAAACAGATCCGCCTCGGAGGGGGCCGCACCCGGTACGAGGGCCGCGTGGAGGTCCTGGGCGTGGACGCCAACGGCACGGAAGGCTGGGGTCTGATCTGTGGCGAGACCTGGACCACCAAGGAGGCCATAGTGGCTTGCAGGCAGCTAGGCCTGGGCTACGCTAACCAGGCTAACCAAGTAGGTCGCTAACGCCTGACGCAGCTAGCCTGGAGTAACACATCGTCAGCTTCAAAATGAAACTCCTCCCATATAGCAAGAGAACGGCATCCGTGTTCCCCCCGGTGATGTCGTTGCTTGTTGCAAGGCAGAATTAGCTTAGCGGCGCAATCGCGTGAATTGTCAGACGGCAAACATGCCGTCCTGTTGCTTGACAAACGTGACAAACAGTGAAGTTGAATATTCAACGCTCGCATTTTTTTGGAGGTAGACCACAGTGCTTTAGTCATTTTTTTTTTTTTAATTTGTGCTTTTGGCTTGAAGTGTGGCAGTACATTTATAACTAACAACTTACAACACCCCGACGCGGCCCCACCAAGTGGAAACACTACCGCAATCCAAACGCTGACCTCATCCCACCCTCGCAAAAAAATAAAAAATAAAAATATAAAAACTAACTGGACCGCCTGGTACACAGCACACATTTTCCACTGCCTGAATACAACTTGTGCCATCTAAGATTTAATTTGAACATTAACCCGAGCTGATTTTCTTTATTTTTAAACCATTGAAGTATTCCTTTAAAAATATTTGGGATGTTAAAAAAAATGAAGTTAAAATATACACTCAGATGGCACAAAACTCTTTTTTTTTTTTCCCAACATCCAGTCAATCAAGTTACTCTCCATCGGTCATGTGACGCTGGAAGGATGATTAGACTGAATTTGGAGTTTTTGACTATGCTAACAGTGATTAGCATTAGCGTTAGCGAATCACGGACAGGAAGTGCATGTGCCCCCGATGTCCGAGTGACTCCCAGCAGGGCGTGTGGTCCGCAGATCCGGCTAGTGGGCGGCCGCAGCACGTACGAGGGCCGGGTGGAGGTTCGGGTGGGCTCCAGGTGGGGTACGGTGTGCAGCGCAGGCTGGAGCACCAGGGAGGCCATGGTGGCGTGCAGGCAGCTCGGCCTGGGCTACTCCATGCACGCCATCACCGTAAGTGCCGCGGCGACCTTCCAAAATGAGATAATTGCTCGACGCCCTTCGCGATAAAAGCGCCAATCTTATTTTGGGAGTTGGAATAGCCGACTTCAAGTGCAGGGGTGGGCAAATTACACGGGGGGCCGCTCCCTTCCTTTAAGAGAATCGGCAGTCAGGTCATATTTGTTGCATTTTCCTAAAATTGGTTCCCTAAAATCAGTTTTTTTTTTCTTTTTAATTGATTTAGTTTACATGCATCACTGAAATGATTATTTAATGTATTTATTGTGCATAATACAATATGACCAACAAATCCATTTCTGTATACATTTGATTTGATTTATAGTGAATAATTGGTTCATTTATTTATTATACATAAGAGAATAAAATATTGACTTATAATTGTCAAACTGTTTTAAAAACTGTCATATTTCTTATAAATGTAAAAATCATTTTTAACAATTGTTTTTTTTTTTTTATTCAAATCAAGTATTTTGTCAGAAATCGACATTTAACTATATTTTTAATTGGTCAGTTGAAAATTGTAAATAATTTTAAAAAATTGTGAAATCCAATCTTTAACATCTATTTCATATTATTTGAAATTAATTTTATGAAATAATTGGTTAGTTTATTATTATTTATTGTAAATAACACTAAAATAATTTCCAAATAAGAAACCTTTTTATTTACCACTTGGTTAATTTATTCTAAATAAGGTTAGAAAAAACAGTGGAAAAAATGTCGGAATATACGTTTGACAGTTACATTTTTAAATAAATTTAAAAAAGTATTTCCGTACATATTTTATTAGATTTTTTTTTCCTGAGTCCATCTCCGTCTGTCCGTTTCAAACTTCTACCGTGGCCCTTTGAGCACGAAAAGTGCCCACCCCTGGTCTTGTGTCAGCGATCTCGCGGTTACTTCCTGAGTGTGTATCTTCTCAACTCTGATTGGCTGGCCACTCTGCGTTTGCCCCACCCCCAAGGAAACATGGTACTGGGACAGCAGCAACGTGACCGAGATGATTTTGAGTGGCGTCAAGTGCACCGGAAATGAGATGTCGCTGACGCAGTGCCAGCGACACAAGACGCTCAGTTGCCAGAAAGCCGCCGCCAAGTTCGCCGCTGGCGTCATCTGCTCAGAGAGTGAGTGGCAACGCAAAGTTTGGTGTTCATTTACATCCATTTTTTTCACACGTTTTTTTCAAAAAGTACGGTTAGATTTTAAGATATGTTTATTGTTCAAACTGTGCCGTTTGATCCGAGTCTATCGTCTGATTTTCATATTTGCAGATGAGGCCATGTGTGATGTTCACAAACTGCGGGATTTGGTGTGGCGTATTTAAGTTGTGCGATATTTCGCAGCACGTCAGTTCACAATGCGCAATTTTGTGTGATTCCCCCGCCCCCTTTCGATCTTCCACGCAAATTGAACTTTCTTTGGTGTTCCTGGTCTGCGGGGACTGGTGGGGCACTGCCTCACTTGCCCCAAAATGCAAAATCGGTATCCATTTGAGGTATCCTGGCATCTCACATCACATTGGGAGATAAAATGGCACACATTTTGGCCAAGCCTCTTTCTGGAAAACTTTTCATCGATTTTGGAATTTCTGATGTTCATAATCACCGAGATCTGGTGGGGCACTGCCCCATTGGCCCCCATTGGCCCCCAAATGCAGGGCTCTTGTAAGGTACGCTGACGTCAAGTTCCGGCTGTGACCGTTTGGTGGACTTTCTTGAGCATTCTGCTCAAATTTAACTCAAGTCCTCTTTTTTTTTTTCTTTTTTTTTATTTACAATCTTCAGGAACTGGTGGGGCATTGCTTCACTTGCCCCCAAATGCCAATAACGTCCATCCATGAGCTCTCCACTTTAATGTGGCTAGCCAATTAACAGTGTGCTTAAAATCTGGAAAAAAATGTGATGAAAAGGTTTTTTTTTCCCTCTTGGGTGGCAGCGGCATCTGACCTGGTTCTGAACGCCACATTGGTGCAACAGTCGGTCTACATCGAGGACCGGCCCCTGCACATGCTCTACTGCGCGGCGGAGGAGGACTGCCTGTCCAAGACGGCCGCCAAGGCCAACTGGCCTTACGGTCACCGCCGCCTCCTGCGCTTCTCCTCGCAGATCCACAACATCGGCCGGGCCGACTTCAAGCCCAAAGCTGGACGCCACTCGTGGGTGTGGCACGCCTGTCACGGGTAAAAAAAAAAAATTATAATAGAATAACATGCAAGGATCTGGTGGGGGACTGCCCCACTTGTCCCCAAACCCCCAATCTGCTAGTTTTTTTTTTTTTTTTTTTAGATACACCGTGTAATTTTGTGCGACCTGACTTCCTTTTGCTACAATTGTTGTGGTTTTTTTTTTTTTTTAGGAGAGGGTAAATTTAAATTTCTGTGTGAGGAGGTGCTTTGGCAAAAAGCGCGTGAATTATGGACTGAACAGGACAGACAGTCAAAATAGACAAATAGTCTGGATGTTCATTGCTAACACAAGAACCCCCCCCCACCCCCCCAATCTTTTCTCAGACATTACCACAGTATGGACATTTTCACCCACTACGATCTTCTGAACGCCAACGGAACCAAAGTGGCCGAGGGGCACAAAGCCAGTTTCTGTCTGGAGGACTCCGACTGCGAGGAAGGTGCACAGAAACTTTTCACATTCAGTAAAATCCACCAAGATGTGGTTATAGTTTGCAAATGTCCACGAAGCAGCTCTCATTCGTGCTTTGTTCAACGTAAAATGGTACAAGACCACCCAGGGGTCCCGGTCGGTCGTGTGTTCTTCAAGAAGTAGCCGGCAAGCATCTAATCCTCGTATTTGCGCCACATGCAGGCATTTCCAAGCGTTACGAGTGCGCCAACTTTGGCGACCAGGGCATCACGGTGGGCTGCTGGGACATGTACCGCCACGACATTGACTGCCAGTGGATCGACATCACCGACGTGAAACCCGGAAATTACATCATGCAGGTATGAGCCCACCCACCGTTTCGCATCACCTCCTCTCTGTGATGACGGTAGTTTGTGTGCATGCTTTTAATGTTAGACACGCATGACCAATTTGGTGTCAATTGCTGGAATCGATCCCTGGTGGGATTTTTTTTTTTCCAAACGCGACTGAGTTATTTTTCCGGGGGGTTGTGTTTGGGATATTCTAAATACATACAACAAGCTCAGAGGTTTCAAACTCAATGTAGCAATCAATCAGACACAATGTGGAGTTGTGGAGTTCCTCTGGGCAATGTTCAAGGTCCATTGAGTTTTCATGATCCTTACTTTCTTGAGGTGGAATGTATCTCAAATATTTTCTCCAAGTAGCGTCTCCACGGTTGTTCTTGTGTCTGCGGCTGTTCACGGACACATAATTTCATCAAATTGACAAGGAAGCTTTTTTTTTTCTTTTCTTTAATCCATTGATCGACCCTGACTGCTTTTATTTCCTGGTCCACTCAGGTGGTGATCAACCCTAACTTGGAAGTGGCCGAGAGCGACTTCACCAACAATGCCATGAAGTGCAACTGCAAGTATGACGGCCATCGGATCTGGTTCCACAATTGCCACGTCGGTAAGGCGCACCCTGAAAAAGCAACGCACTTTTTTTTGGTGGGGGCGTGAAAATGTCTTCATTTTGTCTGTTGCTCAAACCTGCAAAAACAATCACCCGCAGGCGATGCCTTCAGCGAGGAGGCGGAGAGAAGGTTCGACAAGTACCCAGGACAGTTGAACAACCAGATTTCTTAATCCAAACCACCGACGGCTGGCGCGGCGGACATTTTGTGGAGCGGACGTCTTTTTTTTTTTTTCGACTGGATGTCATGAGGCTTTGGTGAGGAAGTTTCCATTTTGAAAATCCGTCTTTGGGGCTGTTTTTACACTTATGTTTTTATCTTTCTTGTGAATGTATTTATTACGTGTTAAAAGTTGCTCTAAAGATACCCAAAATTATCTTGTGAGGTGCTGTGCTGTTTTATTTTATTTTTTTAGGATTTTATGACAAAGGATTGGACAAAAAAAAAAAAAAATCAATAAATGGCATGATGATGCTGTATGTACACCGATGCAATCACACCTGCTGCACTCATTTAAAGGAGACGATCAATCAATTGGTCATAAAAACAGATAATTCAAATAATTCAGGTTTATTCTTTTCTTTTAGCCGTATTGGGCAGCAGTGGGGTGGTGCCCCAGCACCCTCAAATGACAGTGGGGGTACGTTTTGAATGCGCAAAAGCGCTCTTGGCTGGCGTGTGTTGCTGGCCTTTGTGCAAAGTTTATTTCAATCGACTTAAGAAGTGCTTAGCTGTTCACTCGTTAGCGCAATCCCATTAAGCTTCATGTTGGCATGTCGAGGATGGTCGCGTGGCTCGCTCAGCAGCACCCTCCCTCCACCCCCCTTTTTTTTTTTTCTCAAGGTCACCAAGTTGAAGTGGAATAATTCGTAAAAGCAAGGCAAATCGTTTTGTATATATATTTTCTAATTTAAAATCATGAAAGTAAGACATTCCTTTTGGATGGAATGGATTGTAAGTGCACTCGGGCAAGTATATTCATTTTTATTTAGAATTTGTTTTGTAAAATATTTTCAAACAGCAATAAAATAATTAAATGTTTTTTTTTCAAATGACAAAAACGTAAATTTGGTATTTTTTTATGGATGCAAATATGTTATTTTAAAATTTTTAGAATTATGGTCAATTAAGGCAAATATAATTTGTTTTGGTGACAAAATGTAGACAATTATACTGAGACAACCTGGACCAAAGCAAAAAGATTTCAAATTCATATCCATCCAGCAATTATTCGAAGTGCTTTATCCTCATGAGGTGACTGTTTTTATTTATTTTAATAACGCTGAGGTTGACTCGAGGCCACCGGCCTTGTTTTCTGAAAACGTAAAAAAAAAAAAAAAACAACCATGCTATTATCGTAACTATTTAATACACAACGCACTAAAGTGATACAAACGATTCAGTTGTGTGTACACGGATTTATTGGCATGACATTGAAAATGACGATCAGAACATGAACAATAAAAGCCAGCCGTCAAGAGACGATCGTAGAAGAGCTTTTCGGGGTCATCCCCGAATTGCTGGAAGCGTCCATCTTGTTTGATGTTCAACGATGAGCTCGATCGTTTGTCCCCAAATTGTCACTGCAACACAGTCTGTTTCACAACTCGACCCGCCTTGTCCACGGCAAAGTTATAATTCTTGGGGTTGTCCAGAGCTTCCTCGATGCGTTGGTCCAAGTTCTCTAACGTGATGAAGTTCTTTGCCTCCTCCTGTGGCCCAAAAAACAAAATACGAATAACCAATTTCAAGGCGGTGTGAAAAAAAAAACCATACAGATCTTGACTGAGGTGAAAAAGTGTACCTGCAACTGCACAATTTCCTCCTCTTTCTGCTTGATAAATTCTTGCTGTTGCTGTTCTCGCTGGAGAGCCTCTTCCAGCTTCTGACGTTCCGCCTCTTCCGTTTCTTTCTGGATTCTCACAATTCTGGAAAAACACAAACAAGCTCAGGAAAATTGGAAACGCCAAACTCTTGTCATTTGTGAACGTTTTTGAAGCTCATTTTGTGAGAAAATTACAAATATATGTATACTGTATACGCTTAGCTACTGCAGGTGTTATTGCACGGTGCGAACGATCCAGTGTGCAAGGCGACAAACGCGAAAGTGTTGCAGTGTGGTTTGCAAATTGTGAAGACGTTTGTTCACATTCATTAAAGAAGATAATTTTTTTTCTTAAGATTTTTTGTAGTAAATCTCTGACATTTCCACGACTCTAATCAACACCATAGCTGAAGAAATTATTAAATGGAAAACAATGCGTGTGAACATGTCAAGCCACAAAAGGTTTCCCAAAAGTGTCATAAGGCGGACCGAAGTTGCAGCAGGCGCAAGTTCTCTTGGCGGTTGAACTCCATGAGGTTGCGGTGCTCCTCGGCCTCCTGCCGCGCTCGCTCCTCCGCCATGGAGCCCGTCTCCTCCTCGTACTTCCTCCGCAGCACCTCCTCCTTGAACTCCACACTGAAAAGCCCACCACATAAAATGGAAGCAGTCGCATTGCTATCTCGGTGAAAACTGATTTAAGACTTTCACAAATTTCACAAACATTTTTTTTATTTTCTTAATCATTTTTCTTGCCATGCAACAAATACTAAGGGTTTAAATTGAAATGATCCAATTTACAAAACACATGAATTGAAGCAAATATATTCATTTTCATATTTCAAAACACTCCGTTAAATTAAAGCGACGTAATTCAACCCCGTTTGGGCGCTTAGCATTTAGCATTAGCAGGACCACATTTACCCCGACAAGTAGCCTCAACAATGCTGTCCAAATCAATAAAACAGGTTTGAAGTGTCAAGTGTGGGCGGGTACCGCAGCGCCCTCATGATGAGCTTGTAGTCGGAGTATCTCTCCCGCAGCACGACCATCTCCACCGGGTCCACCGGCGGAGGGACTTTGATTCGCCCGAGCTTGGACTTGGCCACCGGGTCGGTGCGCGACTTTCGTCCGCGTTGCGCCTCCACCAGCGCGGCCCGCCCGGGCGCCAGAAGCCGGGCGACCCGCACGCTTCGGAACATCGCCGCCGCCGCCGCCCGGAGGTCGTTTGTCGGGCTTGTTAGTCGCTCGACGCGGCCGATATCGAAAAGTTGAACAAGTCCAAAAGTGTCACATTGACGCTGAAGAATAACAACATTCAGCGTCCATAGGCGGCGGCCATCTTGTGTGTGTCCTCTGACCCGGAAGCGATAACAAGGTGGAGAGCCTTTCCTTGGAGATTCTATCGTCATCTAGTGGTTGCAGATAGTTTTGCATGCAAAAACAATGACGCCTATTGACTGCCGTGTCTCTCCTGTGCAGTAGTTGGCGCTGTGTATCGGAACATATTGTACATTACAAGAGGAAGAGGAATCGCTCCTGAAGAAGACTGGTTTGAATTTTGGCAAAAGAAGACGGCTGGCAAATTAAGAAGAAAAAAAGAAGGATAACTGACACTCGAACTCTCTTGCTGAAGTAAGTGTCACTTTTGTTATTTGGTGGGTCATTGTTTGGAATCGCTTTTGTGTTCAGTTTTGCTACAAACAAACATTAAAAAAAAAGTAAAATGTGTTGTCTTTTAGCACCCTCTACCGGTAGAAAGTTAATACCGCGGCTAACCAGAAAATAACTTCATTACATACGTAGCGTGGTTGCATTTTTATTCTGATTGATTCTGATTTTTTTTTAATTCAATATTGTTCCGTCAAGGGACACAACAGTATATGTGCGATATTCATCGCAACATTCACAGAGACCAATTGAAATCGATTCCACAGTCGTTGAGGGTAAAAATGTAGCTCTGCCTCCGCTCATACGCTGTAATAAAAAAAAGCATATACTGTACAGTATACAAAATAAAAAGTGAGTCATAAGTCAGCTCTTATTTCTTTATTGAACTTTTCGCTCGCGGTTACAGTTAGTTTTCATTCCGTTTCATGTTTGACCGTAGCTGAGCATGAATTCCCGGCTAAACAATAAAGACTATCATAAATCGAAGACACCAGCGACGATTAGGCTTCCTCTGCATTTACATTCCCCCCCATTGATGTTAACGTGGGCGTAAATGCAAAAGAAGATGTAAAGAAATGGTTTAAGGTCACTGGCTCAACTACTACTAGGCAGTTATTAAAGTGCAAGCAGTATTTCTGCCCCGTTCCAAACACCTGCTCAAGTGTTTGTACAAAGCTAATTGCTTGGACTTTAACAATAATGATGCTTCATGCAGTGCAGCCGGGTTTTTTTTTCTCTACGTCAAAATGTGTGGAGAAGAAGGGGGACTTGATGTTGACCTCTCGCTTGCTTTTTGGCGCAAGGGCGCGTCTGTCGTGATGCGGATGACGTTTTGGTGACGGTTTGTAAACATGGCGGGAATGTTGTCATGTTGTGTTTGGGTGTTCAGTGTACGGTGGGAAAGTAGGGATCCGACAGCCGCAACTCTTCGCTTTCCAGAAGTCCCCTACAATTAAAAAGAAGAGCATTTCAAGCCTTGAAATAACTTTTTTTTCTTCTTTGTGGAGCAGTTTTGCGATTCAGTGACTTCATCATTTTGAGGAGCAATTCTTGTAAATGAATCTCAGGAACCCGAAGCAAGCGTTTCATTAATCAGTAAAACAGTGTGCGTGCGTGCGTGCGTGCGTGCGTGTTGCGGTAAGAGTGTGTCACCTGTACGCGGCGATTTCGATGTCTAGCGCCATCTTGACATTGAGCAAGTCTCGGTACGCTCTCATGTAGAGCGCCATCTCCTGCTTGGCGTCGTCAATGTCTCGCAGCAGTTGGCTGATCCTCGTCTGGGAACGGAACACGAAACATTGGGATGGATTTGCGAGGACAGAACTTGGAATGCCCATGCGCGACAAGATTTTTTTTTCTGGCGTCTTTTGTGGAAGGGCTTGAAGGTTCACCTGGTACTTGTCCACCTCTTTGGCCTGCGTCTCCTCCAGCTCCGCCAGCTGCCCGTTGAGCGCCTCGACGACGTTCCTGAGAGCCTCGATGTCGGAGGATCGGGCCAGGAGCATCCTGCGGTACTCGGCGGTCTCCTCCCGAATGGCGCGCGCCGCCTGGCGGTCCCTGCCGGCCGCGTCCGCCGCCGCGCCGCACTTGCTCTTGTACCAATCCTCCGCGGCTCGCATGTTCTCGCCGGCCAGTCGCTCGTACTGCACCCGGACGTCCCGCAGCGCCTCCCCCAGGTGGGGCCGCATCGCCGCTGCCGCTGCCCCTGATACCTCCTCCACGCCGATGTTGGCCACCTCCAGCTGGGCCTGCAGTTCCACGTTCTCCTCCGCAAACACCTTACAAATGACACGTACGCCATGTACAGCTTTTAAATTTCATTGACCAGGAGTGTCTAAACTACAGCCCCGTACAAAAATTTTCTGGATCTACTGCAAATTAAGCCCATCACCCATCTTAGGGCATTGCAAAAGAGCGACGGACCTTCTTGAGGAAGACCATCTCGTCGCAAAGGGACGCCACGTTGGTTTGGGTGTCAAGGTAGGAGAGCGCCGCCCGTCCCGCCTCCTGCCGGGCCCGCATCAGCGCCTCCTGGGCCCGCTCCCGCCGCCGCGCCTCCTCCTCGCAGCGTTCCCTCACCCTCCCATGAACCTCCTTCAGGTAGTCCCGCTCCGCCTCCATCCGCATTTTCTCTCGGCTCTCCGACTCCATCTCGGCCCTCAAACTGCGCGCCGCCTCCTCGTAAACCCCCCGCAGGCGGGACGGGTTGCTCCTTCGCCCTCGCAGCGCCTCCAGCTCAGCCAGCAGCGCCCGGTGGTGGAGCTCCAGGAGTCGGACCTTCTCGGTGTAACCTGCGAAGCGGTCGTTGAGGTCCACCAGCTGCTCCTTCTCCCGCAACCGCGAGCCGAGGACGCCGGCCCGGGCCGGGGAGGATGACTCCTCCGGGAGCCTCCTGCGGGACTCGGGAGATGCAGGTGAGGAGCGGGAAGGGGATGATTTCAAGTGCGAACCGCTGAAGTCGCCCCAAGGTCGACGGCAGAAGACGGAGGAGCTCATGGTGATGTTTGTTGTTGTTTTTTTTTTTTTTATGGAAGTGAAATGGATGTTTTCATTAGAAGTCCCCCTCGTCCTGCACACAATGAGCGAGCATTTGTGCACTGCACCACCTCGGGGATGCTGCAGACTTTTATATAAAGTACACGCATACACGCACACACACGAGTGATGTCAGCAGCCATCCGGCCAATAGCAGTCGGGGATGCTGGGATGCTGCAGACTTTTATATAAAGTACACGCACACACACGAGTGATGTCAGCAGCCATCCGGCCAATAGCAGACTTCTGCAGAGACAGTGGAAGTTGCTCTTGAAGCAATGAACAGACAGTGCAGTACAAAACCGGCTTTGCTGTCATAATAGTGGCACCGAAAATAGCAGCCATGTAGAAGGCTGTTTTCATTCGTTCCAGTCTGTTTTTTAATGACGCGAACACAAATGTCAAATTCATCATCTTGTCCCTTTATGCAAATGTCCCTTTTCCGAATATGTGGGTCGGGCAAATACTTCTGCTTTTGTTTTTTATTTTTTTATTTTTAAGAAACAGACATCAGGAGGGTTACTTCAAGTTGAATTACAAATAAAATACAAATGTATGAAAGCATTTCAATTGAACACGTTATAAGTAATCAATTTTACATATCTACTGCCAGTCGTCACTCATTTGAGTCACTAGAGGGCGCCCTATCACTGCCGCCAATCCGAGTGTTTGCGACGTTTCTCGCGCAACAAATGCAATTTTTTTTTTAATTCAGAGTTTATGTACAGTGAAAATTCCCCCCCTGCTGCCCACTTAGGTAAAAAAAATAAGAGCATCGAAAACATTTGCTTTTCACACACAGAGACTTTGGAATGTTGCTCCTCTGCGACCCTTTTGAAACATTTTACAGGATCCATTGGAGCATCTTGAGGAAACAATCCGTCAAATGCATTGTCATGTCGACATTCTGCCGTTTTTTTTTTTTTTTTTACATTCGATGATGCCAAACACCATCCACGTGACATGAAAAAGTCAACATTGCTGTGTGTAAGAAATCCGGGAGGCGACATACGTTAACACGGTGTTACTTTGGTACTGGTTTGATGTCACTTTTCAGTGCGTACATGCATTTTTTTCCGAATTGAATTCTATTTCACCTTTTTTTTTAAAACACATTTGTCTCTTATTAACCACATACACATTTTTCATTTACACTTGTCGTGAATCCACAATCGAGATCAGACCGGGATTAAACTATGTTTAACATTGGATCTTAACACCTTTCATTAAAATGCTAACATTTTGTCTCTGTAAACCATCTCAACAAGTTTAAAATTGCAAAAGTGCAAACTGAATTAGATCTGGATTAATACACATAAAACGCCTCTCTGACTTTCTTCGAAGTAGATAGAACATATGGTGGAAATTAGATCATCATTGTCTCGTATAAAGATATAAGTGGGCAGATAATTGAAATATACTATTAGAAACAAGATATTGAAACACTTTGAATCAGTCCGGATATGTAATCAGCATCATATCTGGATTCAATTTCGTTTGCCGTTGCAGCATACACCACGTTCAAATTGGACATGGCCTTTAATTTTTTTCTCTCCCAACCCATAAAATGACTTCGACATTTTGTCTTTCGTAACCCATCTGAAACATGTTCCATTTGCATTCACCCTAAATGTGCAATCCGGATCAAATCCGGTTTTACATCATTTTGGTCCAAATGAATTAACAAATAGCAGAGATGATATTATTTGACCTCCTATAAATGAGAGTGAACGTGGGTGAATTTTTAACCCCCCGCAAATGATTGGTGGTGACCTCCTACCCATCAAAAAAAAAAAACTTGCGATGAATGTTTTTCAACCTTGGCGGCGGTTATCCGGATGACATGACATTGACATTCAGGAGAAGAGTTTGAGCCTCTTGCCGGGCGCTCTGCTCCCCTTAGCCTGCGGCATCATCCTGTGGCCCCCGGGCGGCTCCCTGGCGGAGAGCGGGCAGTACTTGATGGTGTGCGCGTTGTCCCCGTTGGCGCTGCACAGCGGGCAAGTGTACGCCCGCAAGATGGGGCACAGCACCCGGCCGTCCGCCGTCTTCAGAATGTGCGTGCCGTACACCTCCTCCGGGGCGCCGTTATTCCGACAAAACACGCACACCCTGGGCTCGGCCTTGCCGCGCGCAGCCGGCTTGCGTCCGCGCTCCGGACCCTCCGCAAACATCGTGGAGCCGCACCCCGCGTAGGCGGCCGCGTCGTCTCCGTCCCCGGCCGCCCCGAGGTCGCCGAGTGGCCGTCGGCGGAGCAGCGAGAAGCACTGCCGGAGCTCGTCCGGCGAGTCGTCCAAACCCAGCGTGGCTTTCAGCGACTCCGTTATGGAATTGGGGCCGCTACACCCGGTCGGGCCCCGGATCCGGTTCGGGGCCACGAGGGTGGACAAGCCCAGGTAGTCGTTCCAGAAATTGAAGGTGTAGTTGTACGGAGACAAGTAGCGGCGCTCCGCCAAATCCATCGCGCGGGCAAAAGTGTCCGCATGGGCAAACTTTAATTGCGGGAGGTTCTCCTCTTCTTCTTTTCGCTTTCGCTGTCGTCTTGTTTGGACTTTTCTTCCTCTTGCCGCTGTAGCTGCTTCCAGTGTGCGGGACAGGCAACGTGCAGGCGCGGTTAAGTGCCCGTCATTAGCAGGGTGAAGGGGGCGTGGCTTTGGAAAGGAGGCACCAGTCAGATCCCCACCCCCCCCAATCTCACACTGACTCTTTTCCCGAGTCCTGCATGTCCACATGATTCGTCAATATCGTAAGCGGCGAGGAGATGCTTGCACCGGGCTACAATTTCAATCATCTGTCGTCCAGAACACAAAAACCCGCATTTGGGTGCAGCGGACTGATCAAGTATCCGCCAAACGAAACGCGTTGCGTTCCAGATGATGGACGTGGCACGCGCGCGTGCTCTCAAACACGGCGTCCCTTTTGTTGAATTTACAGTGAGTGAACGTGAAGTGATGACCCCATCCCGCACCTGCTATGCCTCCCCCTCGCATCAACCCCCCAGCACCTCCCCTTTCTACCCCATTGTCTCCACAGCAGGCCGCTCATGAATATGCATTCAACCCGAACGTGTATGCGCGCGCACACACGCGTGTCATTAGCCGGTAAGGCAGTCGGTCGCACACAACGACTTCAGCTTGACTGCGAGCACAATGACCGCGGTGATTTGCACACATTTGATGAGGCGCTGATTTATTGCTCACTGTGTGTGTGTGTGTGTGTGTTGGGGGCTATTTCATGTAATTAAATTTGGGGAGAGAAGACAAGTAGCGTGTTTGAAGCCTGCAAAGAGGAAATTTCACATTGACAGTAGCGGCACACAACAATGAAAAATAGCCATATGTCATTGGAGATACTGTATATATTTAGCCTAATTGCTTTTTTATTTCTTGCATTCAAAAAAAAAAAAAAAAAACTTCAAGGATGGCACAAAACTGCTCAACAAGAAACTGACATTCAGTGCAAGGACTCATTTTGTGTTTTTTTTTTCTTCACAAAAATCAACTCACTCAAAATTTGAATATTATTCAGCTACTAAGTTTGTCCTGTATCATTTCAAATCCTCCCCCCCCCCTGCCAAAAAAAAAAATCTGTCTGTCTGTGCTGTGTGCATACATGTGTGTCGCACGGGCCAGCTGAACCCCCCCCCCCCGCATTAATAGCATAAAGTGCATAATGTGTCATTTATCCTTGGATGTCCCCAGACACACGGGAGCTTTCCTGGTAGTCAGTTGGGGAGTTGGGGGCGGGGGGGGCTCGACTCTGATCCCTCACCTCTGACCACTGCACTACCCCGTGAACGCCCACCCCTACCCACAGGGGATAATATGCAAGCGCGTCTCTTAACGGTTGCTCCATCTGCACGTCCGAAAATGGAGACCCCCCCAGACGGGTGCGGGTGTCACCGGCAGCGGCATCAGGGAGCCGCCAACAGGCCAAGGTCAAGGGGGAATTAAGCAGGGGCTGGCGTGGGCTGCCTTTCAGGCACATCAAGTGCTTTGTCGCCAGCTATTACTTAACCCTCATTCTGCCCCCCCTCCATTTTTTCTTTTTTTTTTTTTAATCTTTATAAACACACGCCTCCTCCTGATAAAATGTGTTCACCAGAGGGAAAATGGGGATCAATTGCTCCAGGCCCGCTTAAACAAACAAACTGACTGCACGGTGGAATATTCATCACGGGAAGGTCTCCGGTTTGTGCTCACGTTGCGTATTTGAAAAAGGACCGATTCGTAAATGAGCTGAAATAAACGCTTCGTTTGAATTTCTCTGACTTGTGTTTGACAACATTTCGAGCCGGAGCCCAAACTGCATCGACGATGTGGAAAAATGATCACGATTCAAACAGCTCAAAAAAATACGCCGATTTTTAGACCGATACCAGTACGAGTACTCAACTCTTGGGTACTCGCCAATACCGATACCGAGTATCCGATACCACTATTACTTTTGATATGGAAAATGTCATTTAAAGCGGTGAGGGATCATTTTAAAGAGAGACAAAGCATCCTTGTTGCTCGGCTAAAGCTCCTCAAGTGATCTGTTTTGTGCAGTCGTGTGTGTGTGTGATGCTTGACAAAACAAAACACCGAGTGAAAATGTCGACTGCTCCATCGCTGATTCATCAAGCAGCTTTTTGCAAGCGTGTCGTTTGACAAAAAGCTTTCTCCCTTTTCAATTTTATTTGCAGTTCATGAATAATGTCGGTTTGTTACCTCACAGAGAGCACAGATGGGTTCCCCCGCCCGGGCAGTAGCGCCGTCGCCGGGGCGCCGGCCAGATGGGCCACCCCGACAGGGGCTCGAGTTACTGAAGGCCGAGACGGGAGTCTGCCGCCTCGCACATTGGGGAATACCCGTGATGGCGGTTTACCGTCACGCCGCTGTGGACTTGCTTTGTGTGTTAACAAAGCACTGGACTGGTTGCCGGTTGCCGGTCACTGTCTGCGGAGTAGAGAGCGGATCTAACGCCATATATTTCGTCAACGACGGGCATCGATCCCCCGAGCGACCACGACACTTGCAAATGTGCTTTCCTCAAGACTCTCGTGTACAACTAGTGCGCCGCATTTCAAGAGAACAAAAAGCATCCGCTTTGATTGGCCACGATTGAAGTCGACTGTGGCCTCTCCCACAGGGGCGCAGCCCTCCCTTCAGTTTAGTTGAGAAGAACAAAAAGTCATTCCGGGACAATGGTGCCAATCTTTGGGTTCTAAAATTCTAATGACTGACTGGATGAAAAGACAACAGCTAACAAAGCACATTCGAACGAGCTGGACAGACGAAGGCCGCTGAAAATGAAACGGGCCGGCCGAATTCCCCGCGTGGCAAAGGTCCGATGGCGGCGCTGCATTCCTGCTAAAGTGGACCGTCGGGCTTAGACGAATGCGGACGTCCATCTGGACAGCGATCTGCTTTCAGCTCGTCGCCGAGAGCGCGTGGCCATTTCGCTTCTGGAAACGGAGAGCAGTCGCCGGCATTGTTATTTGGTCAGCTTGTGTGGCCGGTGTGGTGCATTTGGCAGCATTTGTTTATGATTGTTTGAAGAAAAAAAACAAACAAGGAGCACAAAAGTGATGACATTAGCGACTACTCAAGCTCCTTTTTGTCTTGTGTGACTGTTGTGCATTTGAGGGCATCTGTTTGCAACGTTTGCCCAAAAAACACCGAGCGTCAAAGTCAAGATGTTGACATGAGCGGCTGACAAAATTGCTTTTTGTGAATGAATTACTGTTTTGAATCTCATGTGACTGTTGTGGTGCATTCGAGGGCATCTGTTTGCAACGTACGCCAAAAGTACGACAGATGTTGACGCGAACAGATTAACCGAGCTGCTTTTTGCGAACAAATGACTTTTTGATTTCAATCTCGTGTGATTTATCTGCGGCGCCTGACAAACGGGAGCGCCGAGCGCTCTCGAGCAGCTTTTTATGTACAAAAATGACAAGTCAAGAGGTCGAACATCCGGCGTATTGAACTTCTTTTTGTGAACAATACAGCTTGCGTTAAATCTTATGTGACTGGTGTGGTGCACTTGCGACATCCGGCCAGCAGGAGCACCGTGTGATTTATCTGCGGCGCCTGACAAACGGGAGCTCTCGAGCAGCTTTTTATGTACAAAAATGACGAGTCAAGAGGTCGAACATCCAGCGTATTGAGCTTCTTTTTGTGAACAATACAGCTTCGTGAAATCTTATCTGACTGGTGTGGTGCACTTGCGACGTCCGGCCAGCAGGAGCAGCAAAACGAAGACGTACACGTTAGCCGACTTAGCGAGTAGCTTTTTGCGAACAAAGGACAGAACAGCTGCCGGTCAAAATTTGCGGTGATGGATGGATAAATTGTGTTGGAATGGAAAACGAAAAGGCCTGCAATTGACGGGGTCCTCGGTCATGATTTTTGCCCCCGTTTAGACGTGACCTCATTTCCCAAGGTCACATTTTAGACTGATCTGTCATTTTTCGTCTTCATTTGAAATTCACGTGCATGCGGGGAAGGAATTGTCATTTACCCCGTTTAGACGTGACCTCATTTCCCAAGGTCACATTTTAGACCGATCTGTCATTTTCGTCTTCATTTGAAATTCATGTGCATGCGGGGAAGGAATTGTAAATTTTTTATTTATTTTTGGATCGGCGGACAAACGTGCTCCATTTCATTCCTTTTCCATTTGCGTCGCTTGGCAAGCATTCCCGAGACTCTTTTGTTTGCCGGGATCCAGGTTGCCACGGCGACCAACCATCCCCTCATCTAAATCTTCCCGAGTTGTTATCTATGCTAATGAAATGCCGCACGCGCGCGCGATGGCCATTATCTGGCTTCATGAAACTCTCTCTTGTCTATGATTAAGATGCCAGCCACTTTATTGTCCTTTCAGCCCTTGGCGTTTACGATGTGAGCTTTGTGGCGCGCGTGTGTGCACGCACACACACACAAACACGCACACACACACACACACACACACACACACACACACACACTCTCTCTCTAATAGAAAGAGTGTCCAGTTGCCGAGAGCAGGCGTTTAAGATGCCAGCCACTTTATTGTCCTTTCAGCCCGGGCGTTTACGATGTGAGCTTTGTGGCGCGCGTGTGCGCACGCACACACACATAAACAGGCATGCTTTGGGGCTCATGTATTTGATTGCACTAATTGGCCAGCCTCACGGCGTCTCTGTGCTGCTTGGCAGAAACCAATGCGGAGGATTTCAGATGCAGCGGAGCCTTGGCTAATCGGTTGCAGCCCCTCCAAGAACACCACCGAAACTTTTTTTTTTTTTAAACATAAGAAAATAGCATTCAAGTCTTGTTCTTCATAAAAACGTGTCATAACATAATAAAAGAGAACGTCAGAGTCCAGACATCATGATTTGTTCCTTGTGCCTTCTTATGGTGTCACAAATGAAACAAAGACAGTCACAACTGCTATATAAGCGTCAGTAAAATGAGTTTTGTTTGTTTTGCAGGGTCTAAAAAGGTATGCCTGTGAGTTATGTCGTCTGTCTACATGCGTTGCTCCACCGTTTGTGTTCACCTGTCTGTTGTTTGAAGGGTTTTATCATGACCACAACGTCGATGCTATTTTTTTACCTTGTCCATCGTGTTTTGAGTTACGTTTTAGCATTAAGCTAGTTGACTTTCCGAAGGCAATATTATGCTTTTTGTAAAAAAATAAAAAATAAAAAAAATGTAAATCATAATGTTTTGCAGAGAATTGTCTCCTTTTTCCCTTTTATTCCTGGTCAGTTACAATTTACTGGTACTTTCCACTGTGACATCATTTCCAGTTGACTTGCATCATTCACGCCTTTGTCCACTTTGTGTCGGGCTTTTGACACCCAGAGGATGAAATGGCGAACTGAGAAGTTGACCTTCCCCTTTTAACGCGTGGCAGAGGCGCAAAACTCAATTAAGGGATTGATTGCTTGGCTTTCATTGTCCTCGGCGGCATCAAAGGCGGACGGTTTACTGGTTGCCTCGTCTTTTGTTCGGAAAGAGATTGACTCGGGCAATCAGCTGTG